GTTAATACCCAGGGAGTATACCCGGCAGTGGGACTGCTGGATGAAAGGCAGTTCTGTTCTTAATTTTTTGAGGAACTTCCATATTGCCTCGATAGTGGCTGTACCAATTTATATTCCCACTGTTGACTGGAAAAAAAAAAGTGCAATCTGAAAGTTGAGAATTATGTTTTATTTGGCTTACTTCAACCCGAGAGACAGCCTCTCAGATAGCTCGAAAGGACTGTTTCAAAGAGGTAAGGGAGGAGCCAGGAAAAAATGAGAGTTTTTTGCAAGAAAACCCCAAAATGCTTAGGTAGTTGGAACATCATAAGATTACCGCTATCGACACTACCACCACCACCCAGACATATCAAGTTAACAAATTTAGTGCTTTTCTACATGTGGGAAGATGCAGGAGTCTGAGCTTATTGAAATTATTCCTTCTTTTTTTTGGTGGTACACTGTGCACCGTGTTGGATCTTAGTTCCCCAACCAGAAAGCGAACCTGTGATTCCCTGCATTGGAATCACAAAGTCTTATCCACTGGACCACCAGGGAAGTCCAAAATTACTTGTTTGATATGCAGCCTATCTAGAGCCAGTATCCTTTTCTTCTCTGTCTTGAGACCCTCAGAATAGACCGTTGGGGGTGGGTGTAGAGGCCGCTGGCTTGGTGGCAGGCACCGTTCTCCTCCGTCCTGAATCCCCCTGAGGGCGCGCCATCAGGTGCGGCGTGGCGGCCTCAACGTTCTTTGTTTACTGCAGTGGCGATGACTGACACTCTTTGTCTGCACCACCAGCAGTACACAAGGGTGTCTTCAGATCCTCACCAACACTTGTTTTCTCTTGTCTTTTTGATGGGAGCCATTCTAACAGGTGTGAGGTGATATCTCATTGTGATTTTGATTTGCATTTCCCTGATGATTTAATGATGCAGAGCATCTTTTCACTTACCTATTTGTTATTTGTATGCCTTTGGAAAACTATTCAGTTCCTCTATTTAAAAATTGGATTTTTTTTTTTTTTTTGCTGTTGAGTTGTTGAGTTCTTCAAATATTTTGGATATTAACCCCTTATCAGATATATGATTTGCGTTGCCTTTTCATTTTGTTGATGGTTTCCTTCGCAGCAGAAGGTTTTTAGTTTTACGTAATCCTCCTTGTTCATTTTTGCTTTTGATGCCTTTGCTTTTGGTGTCAAACACTCCAAAAAAATTGTCTCCTACACTGATACCAAGGAGCTTACCTTCTATGTTTTCTTAAAGGGGTTTTACAGTTTCAGATTTACAGTGTTCAAGTCTTTAATCCATTTTGAGTTGATTTTTTTGTGTCTGACATAAGATCGGTATCAATGCATAGATTTTTTCTAAAGTGAACTTATACAGTTAAATGCTTAAGTTTTGTAAGGAAGCTTTGTGTCTGAGCTGAGAAATGCTGGTGGACTTACAGTTAAGCTGAAGTATTTAAAACCCTATTAAGTGGACAAAACGTGCAGAGATACCAGTCTTTTTCCTACATGGGAGACTTGCAGCTCTGTCCTGTTTAGACAGCTCTGGAGCTTAGCGCTGTCAGGCTTCCGGGGTGATGTGGTAAGAGCAATAATGGTTTAGTGAGAAGGATTCTAAACTAGGAATCAGGGTCCTCTTATCCCACCTTTGTCACTAACTAGCAGGTAACCTTGGGTAGACCTTAATTCTTATTTGTAAAACAAGAGGATTGTGCAAATTGGTACAACCTTTGGGTGAACTTTTGGTCAATAACGTCTTTTGTTTCGGAGTTACACTTCTAAAATCTTTCCAAAGCAATTAATTATAAATACAGAAGAATATTGTGTACAAAGATGTTCCTTGGAGAATTATTTAACAGTTGAAAACATTTAGAAATGTTATAAATATCCAACATAGGTGACTGATTAAGCACTTAGTAGAATTTTAATGTGACTCAGGGTGTTCAGAGACATGGAAAATATTCATAAGATAATGAGAAAGGTCTTGTAGTTTTCTATAATGGATGTGTGTTATACTGGGAGGAAGAACCCAAAGGGATTTGTCCTAACAGCTCCTTGCTCTCGCATTTTGTTGTTCTTTGAATTAGTGGCTGAGGGGGGATCTCAGATGGGCTGGAGAGGACAGGTGGGTTTGTTGTATCTCCTCAGAATTATAGTAGGACTCAAACTGCTGCTGTGATTAAAAATGATAGTAATATAGCACGTCACTTACTAATCTTAATTTTCCAAAATAATTTGGTCCTCATTTAACTAACTCTGTGTTTGTAAGCAAACCAGATGACACTTTTGCTGTGGAGCAGAGTTTAGAATGAGAGGTGAGCCACGCCGGGAACTGGAGTGCAGACGCTTGTACGCTTCGCCTGTTTCTTCTAGCTCCTGCTCTCTGCTTTATCTTTTGTGACCAGGTCACCAGTGACTTTTCTTCTGGCCTGACAGTTGTGTGGCATGCAGGGCATTCAGCTCCACCAGGAAGCTTGCGAGTCTTGTCATTAGTTGGGACTGTTTTAGAGCGGTCAGACGAGAGGAGGCAGAGAAGGGTTGTGGGGGGCATGCTGTGGTCCCCCCTTTTAATGGGATTGTAATCTAGTCTCGGAGAGGAGAGCCTGCAGAGCCCTGGTTGCTGGCTCTGGTGCAAGGCAGGAGAACTAGTGTGCTGTTTGTCCACGGTCTTCTCCATTTTGAGAGGAAAATGTTACTTTTTCTTTACACCCTTATGTGGTAAAGGGCTGTGTTTGGCTTCAAGTTATTCGAGGTTTGTCCCTGTTAATGAGAACACAAGTTAGACTGCCCCCTGAGAGCAGGGGTTGCCAGAAGCTGTTTGCTGGGTCCTTTTTAGCAGTAAAACATTGGAGGGACGATTACTTCTGATGACTGCAGCTTTTCTTCATACCATGGACCTATGTTCTTCCCCACATTGCCCTCCTGGTTTTTAGGCTGTTGGAGAAGCATAGTTTGGATTTTATAGTTGTTACAAAATTGGTATCTAGTTACTGTGGCGACTCTCTTGGAAAATTCATTTGTTTCTTCTTTTTCCCCTCCTGACATTTCAATTCTACTATGTAAAAGAAAAGCCAGAGGAGAAAACACAATACCATTGGATATAGGAAGTAACCAGAAAATTCTCTTGCCCATTCATCTGTCCAACTAATATTTATTTGAGTACCATCTTAGTGTCAGACAGTGTGCTGTCTGAGTTAGAAACAGAATAGTCTTGAAAGAAAATGAATAACTATTCTATTGAACTTGAGAAAAGCAGGGCCACTGTTGCTTTCCCTTATTATTTTTTTAAAGATTCTGAGTGGTAATCTAAGTTTGAAAAGATGGAATACAAGAAATTTTATTTATCTTTTACTTTAAGCTTTATGTATCCATTGACGTTATAAACGCTTAATTTTTATGTTGTCTCATTTGTCAGTAAATCTAATTTTTACTTCAGTCTGCTGTATCTTTGTTCTTTTGTGTTTTTCATTTGGGCTATTCAAATATTTGGCACTAGTGAAATAGACCAGGCTTCATATAGTGGTCCTCTTTCCACCCTACCTGCTGCCCTGGTGTGGTGAAGAACATGGGGATAACAATAGCCTTGTAAAGTTTGAGTAGCATAATTTTAAATTAAAGGTTTTCAATATGGAGTCAATGAAATCTCTGAAATTATAAACTTAAGTACATTTTTGAGGGGAGGTCTGTAGCTTTCCTTGCATATTCCAAGGATTCTATGACTCAAAAAAAAAAAAAGTTTAAATCATTGCCCTGAATGGCAGTTACCTACATTTCTATTGGTAGAAAATGTGTGCAAGTAAATTTTGCTTTGTTTTATCTTGAAAGTGAAAGTGTTGCTCTGTTAAGTGGATCTGCGAGCCCACGGACTGTAGCCCACCAGACTCCTCTGTCCATGGAATTTGCCAGACAAGAATACTAGAGTGGGTTGCCATTCCCTTCTCCAGGAGATCTTTCTGACCTAGGGATTGAACCCAGGTCTCCTGCATTGCAGGCAGATTCTTTACCATCTGAGCCACTAGGGTTTTATCTTGGGCTTCCTTGAAATCTTATAAGAGGAATCTGAGGTGGACAGTTTAGTTTTCTTTTCCTTTCTAACTTCTTCTCCTCTCTTAAAAAAAAACTTAATTCATTTGTATGGGTTCCATTGGAGTTTCCTAAAGTATTTTAGGTGAGATGATTGACTGTTTTGGTAACCCCCACACAACTTTAAAACCTGAATCTAGAAATTCACTGTCGATGCTGAATTCTCAAACCAGAAGAGAACTTCATCTACAAATTTAAGTTTCTGCGCAGCTGAGAGATGGTGGCTTCAGTTACAAAAGATTTTCCTTAGGAATTCTTCAGGAGCAACTGAAGGAGTGAGGGAGAGGGTCTGGGCTGAGCTTCGTGGGCAGTGAGGACCTGGAAGCCAGCTGGTGTCTTGTTGCAGGAGAGGAAAGAAGGGCGAAGAGGGCGGCATTTATACTCAGGAATTTCCCTCAGTTCCTGGCTCCTGAGATGTGACTGGGCCAGGACAAGGATGTGTGTGAAACTTAATCTTTTTTTTTTTTTTAAATAATTTAATTAATTTATTTTTGTCTGTGTTGGGTCTTCACTGCTGCATGGGCTTTTCTTAGTTGCAGCAAGTGGGGAGCCACTCTCTAATTGCTGCACAGGTTTCTTTCATTGCAGTGACTTCTCTTGTTGCAGAACATGGGCTCTAGGGTGCTCGGTTTTCAGTAATTGCAGCTCCTGGGCTCCAGAGCACAGGCTCAGTAGTTGTGGGGCACAGGCTCAGTCACTCAGAGTCTGTGGAATCTTCCCAGATCAGGGATCAAACCCGTGTCTCCTGCATTGGCAGGTGGATTCTTTAACCACTTAGCCACCAGGGAAGCCCCTGAAATTGATTCTTTAAAGAGTGTTGCCTATGTTTGATATAAACTTGTCCAAGGAGAGTGGAAATTGAGCTTGAGGTCTCCAAGGAGAGTGTTCAGACCTTCCCTCTTTTTTTCTCAAGGCCTCTCTCCTTCTGTGCAGGTGGATGGAAGCATGCCTTGGGGAAGATCTGCCTCCCACCACGGAACTGGAAGAGGGGCTTAGGAATGGGGTCTACCTTGCCAAACTGGGAAACTTCTTCTCCCCTAAAGTGGTGTCCCTGAAGAAGATCTATGACCGAGAGCAGACGAGATACAAGGTGAGTCCTTCCCTGCTTGGTGCTTCAGTTTCCATAAATCAGAGAGAGTTTAGCATCCCTTATCCCATGAAAGAGTTACTGAGAAATATGTGGAAATGTCTTTGTTCCAACAAAATAAAATGCCTGGCAGAGTGGAGAAAGTTCAGTGCAAAGTCAAGATATAGTAGTAAAAGAACCTGAGCTGACCATATTCCTGGTGCATTTCTAATGAGTAATTTGTATAGAGAAATTTTCATGGTCCTTAATGAGGTTTTTATTTCTTAGAAGGCAGAGGAAATAACTAGGGAAATTACTTCTTTAATTTTAACCAAACTCTGAGATTTGTTAACAAATTGAAAGCATTAGTAACTTTGGAGGGAAGAAAATCACCTCGTGATATTAAAGTTTAAGATAAGTAGGAAAGTGATCTGATTTCAGGAAATTGAGATGAGTGTTTGATTCTTGCAGTCCTCAAAAAGAGGACAACCTTAAGTAAGTTGGGATGTTGACAAGGACCAAATTCCATTGCCTACAGAATTTCTGTGGGGAGCTTTCCTAAGAGCTCTTATCTAGAAAAGGGTAAGTGTAGAAGATAGTGGAAGATTGCAAAACCAAGAGCAAATGTATGAAGGGTCAACTGTCAGAACTGGGTCAGAGCTCAGGATTAAGAATGAAGACAGAATCAAGAGAGATTTTTGTTTTATGTTTAAATTTGAAGGAAAACAAGGAAAATATAGATCTTAAGCCAAAATTTACATCCAAAATAGAAACTTTCCCTCATCAAAAAGCAAAGACTTGGGACTTCTCTGCTGGTCCAAGAGTTAAGACTCTGTGCTTCCACTGAAGGGGGTGTGGGTTCAATGCCTGGTCGGGGAGCTAAGATCCCACACATAGCACAGTGCCATCAAAAAATAAATAAAGAATATGCTAACCTCATTTAAAAATTTTTAAAAAAGCAAAGATTTATATGTGGAGTGTTAACTAAGTACTTATTCTGAAGATACCTCCTGAGTTGTTCTGTCGAGAGTCTACAAAATGTGTGCAGAACAGATAGACGTGAGAGGCCTGGAGATTGCAGCAGCAGTAAAAGCAATTAGCCTACTCTTCTACCTGCCTTGAGAGTAAGCCTTCCTAAAAAAACAGGTGCAGAGGTTCAGAGGGGGAAGTTTGTATGTGAAGTATGAGAAAACCTCACTTTGGGAGTATCTTCTACCAGCCAGACACCACATTGAGTGTTTTATGTACATTTTCTCAGTTAGTCTTTCCGACAGACATAAAGTAGATGTTAAAGATGGGTAACAGTGTCAGTCACTAAGTCATGGCCAGCTCTTTATGACCCTGTGGACTGTATAGCCTGCCAGGCTACTCTATCCATGGGATTTCCCAATCAAGAATACTGGAGTGGGTTGCCATTTCCTTCTCCATGAAAGATGGGGAAACTAAGACTCAAAAGGGTGAAGAGATTTGCCCAGTGTTGCCAAGAGATGGCTGCATCAGGAACAGAATCCAGAATAATTGAATTCCCAAGACCATGTTCTGTTGAGCATACTGTACTCAGAAGATTCACCAGATGGTTCTTCTGAGAAGAGCTGAGATGTGAGTTTGGCTTCTAGGGATTAGAATGTGAACATATGCTGGAGATAGACCTTAAGTTTAAGGGGACCATGCGAAGTCTCACAGAGAAGCTTTTACAAGGAGAGTTTTTGTTTAGTATTTGCTTCAGTATTGCCAAACAGTGCCTAATGGTCTTTTATTTGTTCTAGGCAACTGGCCTTCACTTCAGGCATACTGATAACGTGATTCAGTGGTTGAATGCCATGGGCGAGATTGGATTGCCTAAGGTAATTAATGTGATACTCACAGTTCTGTCTTAGTTCTGGCTGTTTTGGCATAACAGTTCTCATTCAACATATAAAATTATCCTCAATTGGTGTTTTATATATGTGTGTGTGTGTGTAATTTATTTTTTTCTTTTTTAAATGCTAAAGGATCTCTCCAGTTTGTTTTAGGAATTGGCTTTGTTCTTTTTCTTTTATATTTCTCATCTCTGCTTCACCTTACCCTAGAGAAATTCCCTATGATGTCCTTTACTTTTACTACACCAAATTATAAACGTTAAAATTCTCATACCATGAGGGAATTCCTTGGTGGTCCAGTGGTTATGACTCAGGACATTTAGGTTCAATCCCTTTTTGGGGAACTAAGATCCTACAAGCCTTGAGGTGTAGCCAGGGAAATAAAAAAATCACGTGCCATGAAATTCGCCATTTTAAAGTACACAATTCAGTGGATTTTATTTGTTCACAGAATTGCTACATCCAGGTCTAACTTTAGGAAACATAAGGAAATATTTTAGAAACATCATTATTCAGCTTTTGAATAATTAAATCTGTGTGGAGTATGAAGGGTTTATTTTATATTTCAGATTGTGTAGGCCATATAATGATGTGTATTTCTTGTATCTGGTCTTGGCGATGGCTGTAGTTTGTGTTTTTGACAGCTTTACTGAGGTATAATTGATGACAGAAAAGTGACACATATTTAATTTTTACATCTTGAGTTTGGAATGATGGCTGTAACTTTCTTTTTTGGCTGCACTGAGTCTTCGTTGCTGCCGTCGAGCTTCCTCTCGTTGCAGAGCGCAGGGTCTACTCTCTGGTTGCAGTGTGCGACTTCTCACCGTGGTGGCTTCTCGTTGCAGAGCGCAGGCTCTGGGCGTGAGGGCTTCAGTAGTCGCGCCACGGGGGCTCAGAAGTTGGAGCTCCCGGGCTCTAGAGCACCGGCTCGGTAGTTGTGGCACACGGGCTTAGTTGCTCCGTGACAGGCGGAATCTTCCCGGGCCAGAGATCAAGCCGGAGTCCAGTGCATCGGCAGACAGGTTCTTAGCTGTGCCACCGGGAACGCCCATGGCGGTACCTCTGATGCGGGAGGAGGCGTCTTTGAGCACATCTGCTCATGCGTTTGCTTAGTGCTGCTCTTGGTGAAATTGCCATCTCAATGGGCTGCACCTCCCAGGCTGGCAAGCCTTGAAGTTGCCCAGCTTTGAGACTGAAGGAAGAGTCCAGAGACAGCAACAGAGGCATCCCTGGTTTATTGGATAGGGGATCTTTCATGTCTGGAGCAAGGCTCTGGAGTGACAACCTGCCGTGGGCTGCAGAGAGCAGGCAGAATATGGCAGCAGTCTTTGCTGTTGGTGGTGGAGCTGGGGGGTTGTTTCCCACTTACTTTGGCCCAGGGCAAGCAGCAGGGGGTCATGTCCCTCTTGGTTGCTTCGGCACAAGTCTTCCCTTTGATAAACTAGCATCATGGAGCTGTTCTGATCTAAAGATTAGAATAGTCACTAGCATTTGCTGATCAGGGTGTACAGTTAAAAGGGAATGTCAGTCATATGACTAGGATATAGGTGAAGCATGGACTTGTTGAGCAGGCGATGTACAGAAAGCAAGAGAATCACTGTCCTGGGTGGTGATCATACAACTAGCTACCCAGTCCTGTCTTGAATAGCCAGAGAGGCCATGATGTAGTATTACTGTTAGAGGCAAGGACAGCTTTTATTCCCCCCACCCACACCATCCTTAGACTTAAGAATTCTTCTAGGAATTTATCCCCACCCACATCCCACCAGCTCAAAAAAGAAAAAAATTAGACAAGCAGGAAAAAAAAAAAGTATATGTAAGGCTTTTCAGCATTGCTTATGATGTAAAAAATTGATAGTAAACCACATGTTCCTTCACTCTGGGTATTAACCATGGTTACAGCCCGTCAAATACTACTGCTGCCGTTAAAAAAGGATGATGTCAAATCTGTATACCTAACTGATGTGTTAAGTGAAAAATAAAATCAGGCTAAGATTATACAAGTTTGTGTTCTGGCTTAGATGAGGTCGTGATCTTTGTCTAAAAATAGAGTGTTCTTGGGAAAAATCCACAGACAGAAATAGTTTTCATTTCTGTGTGATGGAGTTAAGGGGTGGTTTTCATTCTCTATACTTTCCTGTGGAGTCTGAATTTTTGTAACCAAAGGAAGATTCAAAAGAAATGTAGAGTATCAGAAGGTGGCTGAAGCCACTGGGAAATGAGCATTTGGCATTTTGCGGAGTGCTCTGCTCACTGTCGCACACATACCTGTTGAATTGAGTTTAACTCAGAGCTACGTCTTGGCTGAAGACTAGCTTGTGTCCTCTTTTGTTCCAAGCAAAGTGCTGGAGCTCTCTTCCCTGCACTGGTACGTTCAAGAATCAAGTCCCACACATGTCAGGAAATGCAGTACTTCACGTTCTTACAGCCACTAGGCCTTTCTGTGCACCTGTAACTTCTTGTTCCTGTTTTTTGTATAGTATGCCCAATGGGCAATGGCAGTTTAAATTAACCTTTTTGAATGTAACTAAGAGCTTTGTTAATAATTGCTCTTGCTAATAGTATTTTTACTACAAAAATGCCTTTTTAATAATTTAATTTTATTACCATTTTTGTTTACTCACAGTAGTGCCTTGTCCTGAACCACAATCTCGACAAACAGAATTCCCCAAAGGCTGTCAGAACAATTGGAGAAGGGAATGGCAACCCACTCCAGTGGGCTACAGTCCATGGGGTCGCAAAGAGTCGGACACAACCTAAGTGCCTGAGCACATGGCTATTAGCCTTGCTCTGTAGGATTTAAGTCCAGAAGATTTTTGAGTAATGTAGACTAAAGATGCTTAGCCTAAAAAATGTGTTTTTGCCCATAATATAATGTGTGATCAATAATTGACAATACCTATATAGTATTTTTTAAAACTTATTTATTTTTAGTTGGATGATGATTGATTTACAATATTGTGTTGGTTTCTGCCATATATCAACACATGTGTAGTTTTATTGGGATGTCTTTCCTAATCTATTTATGTGGTACATACAAACTAATTATAGAGACTTAATAGGATAGTTTTTCAGTTTTATCCATTTGACTCTTCATTATAATTGGTGCTGTTGGCCATCTTCTCTATGAAACATGTTATTGTTTTTGCTTTTTAAAATTGTTTTTAATCTGCTTAATAGTCCTCTGTTTTCTTCAGCTTTCCTACCTTCTGTATCCTAGTGGGCATTCCTTAAGATGCAGTTCTGTTTTTAGCTACATTCTCCCATTCTCATGGTTTCAGTTGTTTTGCTCTATGATAAGCAGTGTCTTCAATTGGCTGCTAGACATTTCTCTGTGGATAGCTTTCTATTGCTTGGAATGTCTCATCTCTAAAACTAAACCTGCCTTTTCTCCCTAGTGACCTTCTCCTCTGTGTAAGGGGTACCGTGTCGTCACTTTCCCAGTCACCCAGGCTCAGAGCCTTGGCGTTCCTGTGGACTCCTGAGCAGAGCCCTTTCCCCAGCCTTCCTCAGTCGTTCGTAGCATCTGTTTTATCTGCTGAAACAACCTCCCGGCCTGGTTTCTCCAGCTTCAGTCTCCACTGTTCACTGTGTTCTGTGTCTTGTCTGCAGTCAGATCTTCCTGAGGCTCCGTTTTTAGCTTTGGCTTTGAAGCTAGGACTTCTCTGAGGCCTGCATATCAAGTTCAAACTGGTCTGACTGTCAAAAGTCCTCATAATCTGTCTCTGTCCTACCTAACCAACCTTGTTTTTCTATTACTTTCTAAAATGGACTCTGTAATATTTGGGGGGAAGGATGACTGATTTTGACCTTGATTTTCACTGTTCAGGGGAAGACATTTTAGTCTTAGGAAATGAGCATATAAAATTTTAAAAATTATTAAAAGAGATGATTCTGGTACATCCCATCTCTCTCTTGGTGCACAGTTCTTTCTTATTGGGAGCCATAGGTATTGTGGGAGTGGTGCTGGTGCTCAGTTGTGTCCGACTCTGCAACCCCATGGACTGCAGCATGCCAGGCTTCCCTGTCTTTCACTGTCTCCTGGAGTTTGCTCAGATTCATGTCCACTGAGTCAGTGATGCTATCTAACCACCTCATCCTCTGCTGCCGCCCCCTTCTCCTTTTGCCTTCAGTCTTTCTCAGTATCAGGGTCTTTTCCAGTGAGTCAGCTCTTAGCGTCAGGAGGCCAAAGTATTAGAGCTTCAGCTTCCAATGAATTCCTTTCAATGAATATTCAGGGTTGATTCCTACATTAGTAAGGTTGATTCCTTACATTGCTTATGATGAATTGTCTGTTCACCCTAATGAAGTTATTTGTGGAACACTGGTGATCTTTTTGAATTGTCCAAAGTTTTACTTGTTTTACTGATGACTCGTGAATGAGTAAATGAAACCCAATGGATGCATACTTGACTCTACTTCTTTTATTTCTCCTTAGATTTTTTATCCAGAAACTACAGATATCTATGATCGAAAGAACATGCCAAGATGTATCTACTGTATTCATGCACTGAGGTAATCAGACTTTCCTGGTAGAATAAGCAGTATATAGATACAGAGCACAGATTGGTAGTTGCCAGAGGTGGGGATTTGGGAGTGGGTGAAATGAGTGAAGGTGGTCAAAAGGTACAAACTCGCTGTTGTAAAATAAACAGGTCCTGGGAGTGTAAGGTACATCATGGTGACTATAGTTAATGATACTGTATTATGTATTTGAAAGTGGCTAAGAGAGTAGATCTTAAAAGTTCTCATTACAGGAAAAAAATTCGTAATTATGTGTGGTGATGGAAGTTAACTAGACTCACTGTGGTGATCATCTCATGCTGTACACCTGAGATTAATGTGACATTATTATGTCAGCCATATCTCTCTGAACTATGCATTTCACTTGAGATAATAGCCCCTCCTTTAAGTTAAAATCTCTTAAAATTATAAAAAACTATATATATTTGAAAACTTACTGTTTACCATTTTGTTTCAACCTGATAAACTGAACTACAAAATATACTATGTCTTTTTTTTAAACTCTTTATTCAGTATTGGAGTATAGGCAATTAACAACGTTGTGATAGTTTTAGGTGAATATCGAAGGGTCTCAGCCATATGTATACATGTGTCCATTCTTCCTCAAACCTCCCTCCCATCCAGCCCACCACATGACATTGAGCAGAGTTCCCTGTGCTATATATACAGTAGGTCCTTGTTGGTTACCCATTTTAAATACAGCAGTGTGTACACGTCCATCCCAAACTCCCTAACTATACCTTCCCCCCATCTTTCCACCCCAGCAACCTTAAGTTTGTTCTCTAAGTTTGTGAGTCTTTCTGAACATAATACTCTATGTCTTGATACTGATTGGTAACATAGTACCAGCAATTATCAAATGATTGATTGATAATTTGTTTAGTTATCTAGGACCTTGATAAGACATTTATTCCTTAAATAATTTTTAATGCAATAATAATTATAATAATTATAATTATAATGCAAATATAATAAATAAGAACTGAAACAAGGTATAATTTTTTTCTCAGTTTCATAGTAAATTTGGAAGATGACTTAATTTCAGGTCCTCAGCCCTTAGAAGGAACCCAGTACTAAACTGGAGGGAGGAGGTGGTATGTCTGGAGGGAGGGTGGGATGGGAAGGGAGTAGGGTAGGTTCTAGTAGTCTAGTATTTCAGGGTGGCTCAGATTTACTGGATGGCCATAGGACTAAACCAGAAGGTGATACAAGTGGGTGAGTATAAGAGGGAACATTGAGTGTGAGATTTTCTTTTTTTTTCTGCTTGCGCTGTTCTTTTTATATAGCATCTTGTATATGCACCTAATGTGTGCCAGACCCTGGGTATCAAAATCAGCGTGAAACCCGTAAAAGAGAATGTAACTGAGGGCTGGTAGACCTCTTGTGTGGACTAATGGATACATTAACCCCCTCAGAGTTTCCCTCCCTAGACTCTCTACCTTCTGGTCCATCTGTTATGCTGCACTAAGAGCTATCTTTCCAAAACAGCCTTCATCTTACCAGACACTCCATAAAATGCTTTGATTATTCCATTGTAGTGTCACCCCTAGCCATTCCCTCCTGTGTATCTGTCCTCTAGTATCTCATGCCTTTGATTCTGCTGTTTCCTCTGCCTGAAATGCCCTTTTCTCCCTGGTTTAACCTGTGCTCTTCCCCGGGTGCCACCTCAGAATGCTGCCATAAGTATCTTCTCTTACTTTTTCCTTCTGAAGCAGAATTAGCTACTTACCATCTTTGTGCTCCTTCAGCATTTTGTAACAAAGCTCTCACTCCACTTATCTTACTTGTTACATTGTCCTCTGGTTACTGTTTGGGCTTGGCTATCTTGTGGACTCCTTAGGGGCAAAAGTATTTCCTTTGTTCTTTATGCTTGTGTTTTTAGTACTTAGATGCCTAGTATATAACCACAATAAATGTGTGTGTCCAAATTATACATTATAACAAATCTCCCTCCCTTTCTCCAGCCCAAGGGGATAATTTATAACCAAATGGCAGTTTGTCTTTATGGAAGGGCTCTTCCTGTTTGTGTCTACTTATCAAGTTTCAGTTCAGTTCTCACTTTCTTGGTGAAGATTCTCCAATAATGACAGCTTTTTACCTTTTTCTAAGCCTTTGGACTTTTTTGTTTGTTTTGTGTGTGTGTTTAGTTATATATTCCTTCTTTCATATCTTTTCTCCCTATTATATTTATTAGCACCTTAGGGACAGAAATCATGCCTTACTTTTTTTTCTCTCAAAGGTACATAACATAATGTTGGACTAACAATGGTAAAATGAGAATTTAAAAACATTGTTTAGGAATAGGTGACAAATCAGAGAATTTTCAGAATGTAGCCATTTCAGATGTATATGCCTGAGCTAAAATCAGATTGATTCTAAGTGTTGTGGTTGGCTCGGTGTTCTGTCGATGCTGATAGTCTTGTGAAGGCGGTACCCACCATGGATATCTGAAGTTGGCAGGCAGAGAAGCTAAGCTGGCAGAGTTCCTCTCTGCCAGTTCTGTAGCTGCTGCTCTCTGCCATGTAACCTGGGTCCCAGGCTCTCACATCCCCTGAAGAGAGACTGAAGAACTAACTGTGCCTTTCTCATGAAGGAATCAGAATGAGAAAGGGAGGAAGCCTGCTATTGTTCTCCATTTCTCTTCAATAGGCAGTTCGTGCTTAGAAAGTATACACACAGCAGTGTGTCCTGGTTGGTGATTTACAATTTCTTTCCTCCCTTACAGTGTTTTTCCTGAGGGGTGGGTTGGCCACTCTTGATAATATGTAGGAAGTGCGTCTAAGCGCTTGAGGCTCTTGTTTACCCTCACAGAACAGTGTTCAGGGCCGCTCCCTCACTTCACCTACCTGTTTTGGGTGAGGCACTGTTTCCCTTTTGGATCAACAGCGATAAGGAAGCATTATCTCCTTGTTTTCCCCCCTTCCTGCCGTCTGTATCCCCCCCCCTCCCCACCAAGTCTTGACTGGCATTATTCCTGAGATAGTCACTGTACTTCAGTCAGACTACACTCCACTCTCAGATGAGACCCTACTTCTCCATTATTCCAGGTGTATTTGTATACTTCTTTTCCATTCCCTACCCGCATGCTTTATCTTTTTAAGAATTCAGTTTGGGGTTAAATTGGCCCATAATCCTTTATCTTAAATTAAAAAAAAAACATGCTAAAAAGTCTGAGTTTTGGTTCCGTTCAAACTCATTTGTTGGCAAGATCTGATCAGTGTTAATTGAGATTACTTAGAATGTATTATCTACTTAATGTGGTTATTCAGATGTTTCTCTGCAGAGAAGGTAATGTATTTGATTAGGGGTGCTTCCCCAAGACTTGTTGGGGGTGTTTTATTTTGCTGCATACACTGTACAACTTTTCTGAGAAATCCTAAATTAATATTTGGCCCAGGGAATTTAGGTAAGGGATGTGGGCCTGTACTAGGTTGTGTTTCCTCATCAGCTGCTGTGTTGAAGAGCGTTTGTTAGTGATCTTTGAGATTAGCATAGTGATTTCTTTCATAGGTTACTCTACAGTCATTGATCTGTATTCCCTGGCGGCTCAGACAGTAAAGCGTCTGCCTGCAATGTGGGAGACCCGGGTTCGATCCCTGGGTTGGGAAGATCCCCTGGAGAAGGAAATGGCAACCCACTCCAGTACTCTTGCCTAGAAAATTCCATGGATGGAGGAGCCTGGTGGGCTACAGTCCATAGGGGTCGCAAAGAGTGGACACAGTTGAGCAACTTCACTTACACTTTCTTTCACTTTCACAGTCATTGGTGATAATCAGCATCCAGATGCGCTGACACAAGCTTCTTCTCCTCATTGCTGTAGAGTATAACTTAAATAGAAAAAAAATGAAAAGAAATCTGAACTCAATTACAGGCTGATTGTGATAGGTAGCTGATAGCTTATTTGTGAAAGCAAGCACAGGAGGCCAGGAACAAAAACTGAAAGTGATGTTTATTATTAGGAATTTTAAGTTTTAGCTGTGAGGTTAAGTGCTTTCGAGGCTGGATAAGAGGACCCAAGTGGCCATTAGGATTCCATTTATAGCTCCATCATGTCCTTAAAATATTCCTAATAATTAAAATGAGATAAAAGCAAGATAATGCCCATCTGCTTTCAGCTTCCCTTCTCTGCTTTTAACAGCAACTGGTGATAGCATTGTGACGCCTTTGATTATCATTGAAGACCTTAGGAACTCACTCTTGTTGGGGCTGTGAAAGTAACATGCTCAAGCTTTTGTTGAAGTGTGGCAACCACTTTCTTGTTCTACAGTAGAAATAAAAGAGGAACAAGCTTCTGGAGAAAAATATTTTTACTATTTTATAATGCAGATGGAACATCCTGTGCAGGGGAAGTACATGAAGAAGCGTATTACATGTCCAGAAAGTCATTAGCTCTTTGGCTTTGGAAACTGTATTGAATAATGTAAAATCTTTGGAAAGAAGACCTTTATTTCCATCTCGAGCATTTTATTCTAAAGAAAAGCCCGTAATTGTATACTTAAGATTTGTATTTGTACTTACCTGAGAAAATGATTGGTTACTGTGGATGTATATATTCTAATGTGTTTTCAGAATACTTGATTTTTTAAAGATTATGCATTTGGGTTTATCGTATACAGTTTGGATGCTGATCAGTTTTGTGAATGCAGTGTACAGGGTACATATTTGTATTTAGATAATATTGAGATGTAGAGATTATCTGCAAATGCTATAGGCTACTCTGTTGAGTGTCTGTGGTTTGTTTTTTAGATATTTTTTGTTTCCTCTCTTATTACTAGGCTGTCAATGTCTTGCTCATGTTAATCCCTGTGGAGTGGTTTTCTGATCTCTTCTAATTTATTCTGAGCTGGTAGAGCCTTAGTCTCTGGTTAATCTGATTCATGTTTGTAGACATCCATCCATCTGTGAAGTATTGATTATTATTTATTAATATATGTCAGGCTCTGGGTAGGCACTGGTAAACAAGACTTTTATTGACCCTGACTTCATGGGGCTTAGAGTCGAGGAGATTTTTATTTAAAGAATAAAGATTTATGATATATACTTTATGTAAAACTAAAGTACCTGAATTAAACTTTTCCATCAGTAATATGAATTCAGCTTAAGTAAGATTTGCTATCTGAGTCATTTTCATGAGATTTTTCTAAAATGTCTTTTTACTTAAAACTTACTGATCACACACACACACACAAAAACTTACTGATCACAGGAAGTTAAACAGAAATGAAGAGACTTCACTTACCTTTGTTATATTAACATTTGTATTAACATCTGATTGCTTATTGGATTTGTCCTGGAGCTAGGACTTAAACTTGTGTCTCCTGATTCCCAGCCCAGTGCTTTTTGCATTACATTATGTGACTTTTAAGGACCTCCTTGTTATATAAAACTAAAAGAAGGCTCTGAGATACAGTATCATAGCTGCTGAGTGTAATGTGGCAGAGTCCTGGGAGTCTCCATGTTCAGAATGCTTCTGTTCTTTATGCTGGTTTTCCCCTTTGACTTTAGAGCAGCAGAACATCCAGCTGGGAGTCCTGACTCTTTTGCGTATTTTGTCTTCTAGTTTGTACCTGTTCAAACTAGGCCTGGCTCCTCAGATTCAAGACCTGTATGGAAAGGTTGACTTCACAGGTAAGAAGTTCCAGATCTGGCAGGAAGTGCTTGATTTATGTGGAAATAGCCTGGAGAGTCAACTGTACCAATCTTAAAGATGTGGGGCTTTAAAAACACTGTGCCAGCAGTGATTAAAAAAAAAAGCACAAGGAACCTGCTTCTCCCGGTATGGTGGAAGGAACACGAAACCTGGGATTTCAGGCTCTGTTCTCTCAGTTATGACATGGGTGTGGTTGAGAAGTCTCTGTTTTCTTATATGTAAATTAGAATATTAACATCTAATATTAAATGTTCACGTACAGTGAGAAAAACTTTATGACAGTCTTTCCCTTTCCCTTCCAGTGAGCATCATTTGTAGGCAAACGAAGGTGGGGGTGGGGGTAAGATGATACAAAGATGGCAATTTACTAATTTTAAAACTTTAGTTTATTTGGGTGGGTGTTTCTGTGTATATTTGCTATAGTCAAATCCTTGAAGAGATGAGGGCTTAGGGAGAAAAAGAACAGGGGGAATATTGGTGAAGGGTAAAATAAACTCAAATCTTTTTGAACTGGTGATTATTTTATAGGCTTTGGAGTTTTAAAAATTGTAATACAGCTTTTATCTATGATATTTTTTCTTCCAGAGAAGTTGTTCCCCAGACTTGGGGCAAGGGCTAAACCTTAACATGTTATTTTCTGTATCATTTGGCTTCTGGCCTTAGACACAAAATTGTTTAATAGTAGCTAGTGACTTGGATTCACTTCTTGTTTGAGGTTCCTTTAAAGTTGCTCTATTCATAAGTTCATTAGAGGAAATGCCATTAGTAGCAGTTTGGGAAAACTATTGTCATAGAGCCAGTCTCATGTTATGGTTATTTCTGATGCTCATGATAGTGCTGATAATAGTTGTGTGTCTATTGAATGCATGTTATATACCAGATATTAGGTTAAGTGCTTTCCATGTATTAATATTATCTTATTTAAATCCTTATAACAATCCTAAGAGTTATATGTCATTTTATCCAGTACATTTTGTGTTTAAGGAATCTGTTTCCTTCTAAGTTCTGAAAAGGTGCTTACCTTTGGGTCTTAATTCTTTCCTGTAGAAGAAGAAATCAACAACATGAAGATTGAACTGGAGAAGTATGGGATTCAGATGCCTGCCTTTAGCAAGATTGGGGGTATTCTGGCTAATGAGCTGTCAGTGGATGAAGCCGCATGTAAGAAGAGAGTGGTTTCGTGGGTTCAAGTGGAGTTGTTGCTACTGCTTTCAATGATTAATACTATAATGGTGGTCTTGGACATGAGGAATTTTGCCAGCAAGTGTCTAGTGGCTCAGACAGTAAAGACAGAGTCTGCTTGCAATGCAGGAGATCCCAGTTTGATCCCTGGGTCAGGAAGATCCCCTGGAGAAGGGAATGGCAACCCACTTCAGTATTCTTGCTTGGAGAATCCCCATGGACAGAAGAGCCTGGTGGGCTACCATCCATGGGGTTGCAAAGAGTCAGACATGACTGAGCGACTAACATTTACTTCTTTCTTTAGGTCAGTAGATACAGTTTCAAACACTGCTATACAGTTGTTTATGCTGTTATTTGGAAATAAGTGAGAAAAAATATAGTTTTGATTAAAATAAAAGCACTAGAAAGCAAATTCTACGTTTCAATGCCTTTTTTAGTTTCTTGTCTTCTAATGGTGTTTACATGATAATTAAGGGTGAACATTTCCAGAACAAATGCTCAGATGCTCCCTGCAAAGTCCCTTACAAATGTTTTCCCCATGAGAGTCCAGATTGAGCATTTCAGACTTGGATGATAGGCAGAGCTGTGACTTTGTATGTTAGGGAAAAGACAGGGCTCACAGGATCTGGGGATTCCTCTAACCCCTCTGTCTACGAAAAGCAGCCTCTGTCTGTGCTGGGGGATTGCTGTGTTTGAATGTGTAATGTACATCCTTTACTTTATATAACCTCAGTGTTCTGTGTTTTTCTTTTTTTCAGTACATGCGGCTGTTATTGCCATTAATGAAGCTATTGACCACAGAATTCCAGCTGACACCTTCACAGCTTTGAAAAATCCCAATGCCATGCTTGTGAATCTTGAAGAATGTTTGGCTTCTACCTACCAGGATGTACTTTACCAGGCCAAACAGGACAAAATGGCAAATGCTAAAAACAGGGTAAAAATGGAACATTTGCTCTTTTTAATTGATTTATAGGGGCTTCCGTGGTAGCTTAGCTGGTAAAGAATCTGCCTGCAATGCAGGAGACCCCGGTTCGATTCCTGCATTGGGAAGATCTGCTGGAGAAGGGATAGGCTACCCACTCCAGTATTCTCAGGCTTCCCTGGTCGCCCAGCTGGTAAAGAATCTGCCTGCAATGTGGGAGACCTGGGTTTGATTGCTGGGTTGGGAAGATTCCCTGGAGAAGGGAAGGGCTACCCACTCCCGTATTCTGGCCTGGAGAATTCCATGGACTGTATAGTCTGTGAGGGTCACAAAGAGTCAAACACAACTGAGCAACTTTCACTTTTCACAACTGATTTACAGTCTTTCATTATTTAACATGACTCCATTATAAAGATCAGTTTTATTGAGATATTAATTGATGTATAATAAAACCCAACCATGTAAAGTGTACAGTTTGATGAGTTTTGACCAGTGTATACAGATATGTGACCACCGCCTGCAAAGTTCCCATATCTCCCTTTCAAAGTCAACCTCTACTGCCTCCCTCTGTCCACCCCTGACCCCGGCAACTCCAGGTCTATTTTCTATCACTGTAGCTTATCTTGTTTGGAATTTTATATAAGTGAAATGGAGTTACCAATATATAGTCTTTCAGTATTAGATTATATTTTGACATCTGCTTTCTTCTCGAATGTGTGCAAACCTGTGAGAGGCTCTGAGATCTAGTCTGAGACAAGGATTCAGGCTCCCAGATGAGCGGGGCAGGGTTCACTAGTGTCTCCTTCTGCCTGATTCTGGAAGAATCCCTTGAGCTTGTTATTTATGATTGGATCTCCTTTTTATGTTTTTGGTCACAATCATGTAGCTTTGTTCTTTGTTAAGGATTTTAAGCTACACCCTTTCTTGCTCTTGACTCTGTCGTGGTTGGGGAGGAACACACATGTATTTCTTTGGTCTTTCTAGAGACTTCAGCTAATTTAACTACACCTTTTATTCATCTTCAGACAGAAAGCTCTGAGAGAGAAAGGGACGTTTATGAGGAACTGCTCACTCAAGCTGAAATTCAAGGCAATATAAATAAAGTCAACTGTAAGTATGTGCCCCCGTCAGGCCCCTAAAGGAATGTCACTGAATAATGTGCCTGTGGATCTGTTCATGGTTTAAGTTTATATCAGACATTTGTGGGTTTGCCTAGGAACTATTGCATATTTACTGTGTTTTGTGTTCATGTGTCTTCTCTTTGGGCTACCGTTGTCCTCAGGCAGCACGCCCCCCGCCCTCCTGCTCTTCTGTGTAACTCACAGACTGGAGTTTTTGGCTGCAGTTTCACTCTTTTCACCCTATGTTAGACACTTAAATCTGAAGAGGGATTTTATTTTCCTATTTTTAAAGTAATAATAGTTTTGTTTTTCTTTTAAAGAGCAATACAAGTTATCCAGAAATGAGCCACAAATAAAAAATTAGACTCCTGAGAATAACCATGCTTGGTATTTTTAACTTATCCTTCAGAACATATATTTAAACAGAAATGAGGCTGTCCTGTTCATCTTGATTTTTGTGTATGTGTTACACACTTTTGAAAAATTAATTTCTTTTTTTTTCTGAAAAATTAATTTCTTGAATTAATTTAGTCTCTCTTCTGCAAAAGAACCTGCATCAGTTTATTACTTGCCAGACAAAATGCTGTTCCCTGGCCTCATGGAGCTCTTTATGCACTCTTTGATGCATGCAACTCTCTGTAGAAACTCATGTGCCTAATCATCTCCTACGTTCATTGTGTTCATTTTATGACTCATGAAGAGTGGCTCCGGAGTTGTGCAGACCTGGGGTTTGATCTCTTGCCCTTGTATTAATCACTGTGGGAACTGGGCACCTGTGGCACAGAGTCATTATACGCGTGATGAGATAATATATGTAAATTGGCTCGTATTTAGTAAGCACTCAATAACATTATCATTACTGTTGTTAATCATGTAACTGCCCCACTGTAATGCCCTCATGCCTCATGTCTTACCTCATCCAAATTATACCCATCATTCAAGATTCAGCTCAGTTCTCACCTCAATGCGTATCCTAGCTCACAATATACTTGCCTTTCACATCTCCTACAGCATCTGTATGCTTAATCACATGATTTTGTGTTTAATTCTCTATTGTCTTAAGTGCTTGTTTTTTGTTTTTTACATCTATATAGACTTAAACTTGAGTTTACTTATGAATTCTGCTTCTTTTTAAATCCTCATAATTCCTAGCAGAGGGTTAGAGTCACTGAAAGAACTAAAAAACCTTGTTTAATTGAACCAGACTTGACCTCGATCTTATTTTGATCAAGATAATAAATAATAGTAGTAATAGTCATCAGGGTCCTCTCTGTTCTTTGGAGATCCTAATTTCTCACTTGTACTAATGCTCTGAATAACTGGTGAGAATTTATAGATTTTACCAACTCCTTATGGTAGAGAGTTCTAAATCCTGACCAGGAGTCTGTGTATTCTGTTCCGTTCTGGTTCATTTAGGATAATAGCTTTCTGAATAGAGCTGTAGTTCCATTCACATATGGGTGATTGGTTGTGCTGTATCTGTATGAATACTGCTGTAGCCAGCAAGCATAAACCAGAATGTCCTTGCACTTAGTTCTCTCTGTAGAAGAAAGTCCAGCACATTTCCTTCTGCATACACTGCATAAAATACTCTTATTTACTAAGGGACTTTTCTCTACTATGTTGTTTGGGGCCTTTATTGCTATACCTGGATGATTATGTTAGAGTTAGTTATAAACTCATAAGGAAAGAAAGGTATGTGTGTATTTTGAAATTGTTCCATGCATATTGTTCTTACGTGGTCAGAGGAGCAAAATAGTAAAAATTCCCTCAGATATGTTTCAGTGAGGAAGGTAGGCAGATACATCATTTCAGGGCAACTTGGCTAGAACAATTCAGTGAGTAATTTCAAGGCAACCAGAGACGTGTGAAATACAGTCATAGAATAAAGAAAAGAATGATGACTTTTCCTCAAGGTTTGTACATGACCCTTCACTGGGGTTCTCAGTGAAGAACCTCACCTGGAGGTGAGGATGAGGCAGAATTCTCAATAGAGGGACAATCTTTTCCTAATAGTAGGGAAAGTCAGAGACAAGGGAAAGTTGGAAGACAGAGGGACTTTAGGTCCCAAGAATTATTTTAGTGTAATTGTAGATAAGATTCTTTCCCTGGGGCTTGAGAGCAAGCAGTGAAGCCATTATGCTGCCCCAGAAGAAAGCTGCAGGCCAAAGAGTTAAAAATGTGAAAAAGTTCTTATTTTTTTGTTAAGTAGGATAAGGAAAATTAGATAATTAAAGCATAGTGGGAGAAAATATGTGAATAATGTTCCAAACCAGTGGTCCCCAACTTTTTTGGCACCAAGGACCAGTTTTATGGAAGGTAACTTTTCCACAGACCAGGGTGATGGGGGTGGGGTGGGGAATGGCTTCAGGATGATTCAAGCACTTTATATTCCTTGTGCACTTTATTTCTATTGTTATTACATCAGCTCCACGTCAGATCATCAGGCGTTAGATCCTGGAGGTTGGGAATCCCTGTTGTAAACTTTAGAGTATAAGTATTAGTAAATAGCCACTTAAATATTTACATGTTTATGTACAGAGTAAGTTTATATTTCCAGTAAAAGCATAAATGACTAGATGCCTTTGCAGATGATCATCTGAGACTCTTGTGTTGCATCCCTAGAGGAAGCCTGGTTGTTACCAGCCTGTGTTGCTTTTGTTCTCTGTCCCCCACTACTGCAGAAGCTCCCTGAGGATGGGGACAACCTGTTTGTTTTGTTCCGGGCTTTGTTTGCAGCAGGTGCAGGTCCTTGTGGTGGCAAAGTGCTTGGTTGGTTGGCTGACGGCCACGTAGACCTGCAGCCGTGATTCAGAGAGCTGCTCGCCTCCTCGGTGTGGTGATCAGTGAGCCAAACCGTAGGGGAGAAGGTTGGAAGAAGGGAACAGTCTCTTAGGAATCTAGCCTTTCGTCCTTTTACCTCTTGGTGTTACGTATTAGTTCTGGTTTGAGACTTTGTTTTCTCTTGGACTGTTTCCTTTATAACACCTTACATTAATTTTCTTTCTTTCTTTTTTTTTTTTTTTACAAATGAAAACAGTTTAAACTGATAACTACTGCTATGCCCCCAATATTTTGATTTTTAGTATTTTATTTTTGATTTGTTTTGCTACTTCGGTGATAAGATTAGATATTCATTCCTGGGTGGGGCAAGGGAAGGAGAACCCTATTTTTTCTTCTAAAAATAGGGAAGCTGAAAATAATAATTACGATTTTCCAGGGGCTGTCATTTCTGAAATCAGAAAATGTATTATTTTGACTTTCAACTTAATACCTTATTTATTTTATAATATGCAAAGTACTTTCACATGTATGATTTCATTTAATCTCATGAGGAATTTTAGGAGGAACGTACCTTTATTATCATTTTCAGATGAAGGGAAATCTGCATTTTTACTGTTGATAATGTGTTAATGACCTTGTGTGATGTCAGGTTCAGTGGCTAGAAGCAGAGAATGTTGAGGCAGTGCGGAGAGCCCCTTCTGCTCCACACGGTCAGACCAGCCTCCGTGTCTCGGCACTGCTTAGGGACAGAGTACCTTCAGGAGATGCCAGGATGATGGAGGGATTCAGAATGATGCTGTATAAAATATTTGAAGGAACTAAGGCTCTTTAGTTGGGAGTAGACTGTCACAGGGAAGAGGGGTTGGAGGTACTCAAGTGTCAACTCTAGTGTGTGAGCTTTAACAATTTTTTTTTTAAACAGAATCATCCAGAGATGTAGTAAATTGCAGTGGGAGACACTTTCTCCTGTGTAGTAGTTTAGTCTGGATAAAGACTTGGCATTTTAGCGGGAATGCAGGCATGTATTATTGGTGCCTCTTAAATTGCTGCCCTTATTGGTGCTGACCTGTCTGCATCTAGAAGTTTGTAAGTAGGCCTGGGGTGTGGTCTAGGAATCCATTAATTCTGAACACCCTGGGAACCTCTGAACTTGGAGACTTTAAGGTTCTCTTCCACCCTCAAAGCCTAATGCTTCTGTGATGCTCCACAGGAAAGGCTATCTAATTATATTTCCCCAGTCTGAACTGAGACTGGTTTTGGGGAAGGAAAAATATTCCCAGCTATGATGTTAACATAGTTTTGTCTTAAGCGTTTGCCTTTTTTCCCCTCCTCAGTGCTTGCTGCGTTAACAAATATAGACCTGGCTTTGGAGCAGGGATCTGCACCAGCCTTGTTCAAGATCCTGCAGTCACCCGCACTGGGCCTGCGAGGGCTGCAGCAGCAGAATAGTGACTGGTACCTCAAGCAGCTCCTGAGTGACAGAGAGCAGAAGAGACAGGTAACAGCATCTTAGGTGGCACCTGTAAGGCTTGACATCCATCCATTTCAATCTCATGCTGTTGTGTAAAGGTATCAATGGGGCCTTTTTTCCCCACCCGCATGTGGGAAACTTTCTCCTGCATGTGAATTAAGCTGTTTAATATCCTCAGGTAAAGTGCACATTGTCTTCAGCTCTCTTTTGCTTGTAGAGTTGTAAATCCCCTCTTAAATAGCTTCGCCCACCCTCTGAATCTCACCACCCCTTCACTTGAAGTCCCTTAAGTCCCCAACTTAAAACTGCTGGGCAGAGGACTTCCCAGGTGGCTCAGTGGTAAAGTGTCTACCTGCCAATTCAGGAGATGCAGGCTCAATCCCTGGGTTGGGAAGATCCCCTGGAGAAGGAAATGGCAACCCACTCCAATATTTTTGCCTGGGAAATCCCATGGACAGAGCAGCTTGGTGGGCTATAGTCCATGGGGTTGCAAAAGAGTCGGACACGACTCAGTGACTGCACAACAACAAAGCCATTGGGGAGAACCTGAAATTTTATATTCTTACTTCAGGAATTTGCGCTTTAAAGAAAAACCATACCTCACAAGTTTCCTCTGGCTAACACTGGGAAAGCATTTAATATTGCAGTAAGAGTAGACTGTGTGGGATTGTACTCTATGGGTTTTTATTTTTTAGAACAAATACAAGGGGCTTTTTTTTTTTTTTTTTGCTAAATAAGGACTAGTGTACATTTTATAAATTCTCATTATTGGCCAGAGAAAGCAACATTAATGTGCTAATGCTTCTATAAAGATTTTATCTTGAAACATTTTGATGCTCTTTACAAAATATTCTTTTAAGTGTGCTGGTGTCTGGAAAGTCCTTCTCCCCCAGATTTGACAAGGGTTTTTGACTCCAGTTCGGGCTGCTGCTTCAGCTGCTTGTAGCCTGAAGCTGTCTCTTATGGCTCAGTGTCCCTAATGACTGTTGTTGAGATATGAGAACTGTGAGTCCTGGACACGCAGGCAAGAGTCATCTTCACCTGAATGTTCTCTGTTTTTCTCAGGGTGGTCAGGCTGAGCCCCTGCAGAAGGAGGAGCTACAGTCTGGAGTGGATGCTGCAAACACTGCCGCTCAGCAATATCAGAGAAGTAAGAGTCCCCTCAACTGTGCGTCCCCTGAAATACTGAGTAGGGGAGGAGAGTGGCTTTGTGTCATGGAGGGGCCTGAGAGGAGATTCTGTCACTCCTCAACCCACCCCAAGCCTATTAGCCACGCTCAGCTATCAGGTACCTTTGGTAGCAATAGGAGTCCTCCGTTTTAAAAGTAGAACCAGAATCCGTGTAGGCTCACTTTGGCTCTAAGCACATGCTTACGTGGTTGGTTGGGACTTCCCTGGTGGCTCAGTGGTAAAGAATCTGCCTCTCAATGTAAGAGATGTGGATTTGATCCCTGGGTCAGGAAGATCTCCTGGAGAAAGAAATGGCAACACACTCCACCATTCTTGCCTGAAGAATCCTGTGGACAGAGGAGCCTGGTGGGCTTCAGCCCACAGGGTCGCAAAGAGTTAGAAACAACTTAGTGTCTGAACGATGACAACAGCACCACTTTACCAGGCTCTCCTTGATGTAGGGGAGGGGTGTTTTAGGTAGAGTGTAGTGGTGGCAGGCAGGAGGAGTTGGAGCAGAAAGAAAACAGGGGTGAGGAGAAGAGGAAAGAAAACAGATTTACTGAGATGCAGCCCACATACCATTGAGTTCATCCTCAGACTAAGAAGACCACTGTCTGAAGGTGGAAGTTCCACTTCAAATGTCACAGCTAATAGTTTAGCTGCAGAATATGATTTTCTCCTGTGAAAACTGGCGTCTGCGCCCGCTTGGGGCTCTGGGAGCCGGTCGCCTTTCTGACCTCATGTTCTCCACCCAGGGTTGGCGGCAGTGGCAGCGATCAACGCCGCAATCCAGAAGGGTGTGGCTGAGAAGACTGTCCTCGAACTGATGAACCCCGAAGCCCAGCTGCCACAGGTGTACCCGTTTGCTGCCGAGCTTTATCAGAAGGAGCTGGCCACCCTGCAGCAGCAGAGTCCCGAGGTGAGTTCACCAAACCCGTGCTGTTTGTGAGCAAAACAAGAGTGACTGTGAATTTAATACCCACTTCTGGGTGTAGTTAGGCAGAACCTTTTTTTTTTTAAACCAGAAAGTTAGACTCCATGTGGTTTTATTAAATGTCTGCCCTCCCTGGGTCTTCCAGAATGTCCTTCCTTACTCTCTCCCTACCTCTCCCTCTGTACAGCATAGCCTCACCCACCCTGAGCTCTCTGTTGCGGTGGAGATGCTGTCATCAGTGGCCCTAATCAACAGGGCACTGGAATCTGGAGACATGAACACAGTGTGGAAACAGCTGAGCAGTTCAGTGACAGGTCTTACCAACATTGAAGAGGAGAACTGCCAGAGGTGGGTGCCCCTGACCCTAACCTCTGTCTTCCGTGAACCAGCACTCTTATTTTCTCTGCAGGAATCGTGACTTCCTTGTGATGGTCTTTTAGTTCTGCTCCCCTCCCCACCCCACCCCGTATTTCAGTTTGTTTTATTATGCTGAAGGATTTGTAGTAAATTACAGATACTGTAGCATTCCAATCCTAAATTTATTATAAATATGCTTATTTAAAACAATGAGGATATTTGTCATGTAGTTAAAATAACACTCTTATACCTTGTCAAGTCAATAATACTTCTTGAATATTTTCTAAACCTAGTCTGTTTTCATACTTCCTCTCTTGTTCCCAAACTGTTTGTTCTTTTCAGCTGGTTATTCAAACCAGGATGCAATCCATATTGTGTCCTTTTGTTATCTTTTATTTATTTTATTTAAAAATTTTATTTATTTTTAATTAAAGGATAATTGCTTTATTGTGGTGGTTTTTGGCATACATCAACATGAATCAGCCATAGGTACACATGTCCCCTTCCTCTTGAATCTCCTTCCACCTCACAACCCCCGCTTTGATATTTTTTAATCTAGCGTTGTCCCTTTCTTTATAATGCTGACTTGTTAAAGAGTTGGAGCCAATTGTCCTCTAAAATGTCCCATCTTCAGTTTTGGTTGCTTCCTAATATTTGTTTTGTTCCTGTAAATTGGAAATCAGGTCTAAAGGCTTGTCAAGATTCAGTGAAGTATTTTTGGTGACTTGTGTTTCATATTTTCTAATTTTAAGAGGCATGTAGTACCTGCTTCTCCCCACCATCAGAGATACTGAGATTGATCCTTCAATTAGGGAGTCTGCTAGTCCCTTCATTGTATATTTTTCTCCCTTATCTCCAGAACATAATCTTTTTTTTTGTACCTTTTATACCATCACAATGTCCAGTTTCCCATTAACCATTCACCTAATGTTTTTAACCCCAATGATAATCCTTGTGTAAATCCAGGCTTTGGGTGAAAGTTGCTGGATGGTGATTTGTTGATCTGTTTGTTTATTAGCTGGTGCATGACCTTGTTTTCTGATCCTCAGAGGGATTGTTTGAGCTGCTACCTCTGATTCCAGAGTTAGTCTTACCTGACATTTATAACAAGTAATATAGATATTTTTCAATTAGTGATATCTTTGTATTTTTACCCTTTGTTCAGGTTAACGCCTGGGTCCCAAAGCTGACCTCTAGAATATATCAAACTGTTGGGGTTCCTCAGCCATCTCTTGGGTCCTGTGCCCTCACGTCTTCTTATTCCTGTCCACAGAAATAACCCTGCAGGTCCCTTCTCTAATGTTGCACTTCTTCCCTCTTTTGTTGGGGGAACGGGGCAGGTATCTGGATGAGCTGATGAAGCTGAAAGCTCAGGCCCGTGCAGAGAACAGTGAATTCATTACGTGGAATGACATCCAGGCTTCTGTGGACCATGTGAACCTCGTGGTGCAGGAGGAGCATGAGAGTGAGTGGTCTGCTTCCGCTCCCCCAGATCATGTCACCGTCACACGCAGTGTGATTCCACCCTCCCGGGAGCACTGCCCCTAGGGGACTTTTGGAAATTGAAAAAAAACAAAAAAGTCTGTCCATTTAACTATCTCAAAAAGCTATGGTTGTCTATTGTTTTTAAAAACACCAGACCACTGCTATAATTGGAGAAGTATGTAAAGAGAACTAAGGTTTTTCAGGAGGTGAATTGAATGTGATCTGTTACTTTTAAATGCTGTTATAACAGGTTCTGACACTGCCTGGAGCTAGATCATATTGCACAAATTGTCCTCCCTAAGAGGTCTCTCACTTCAGACACCAGCTTTGAACCTGGTGTTCCCAGGTCACCGCACTTCCAAAAATATATTCCGGGGTTCCCTCCACCCCCTCAGTTTCAGTAATTGATTAGACTGACTGACTGAGCTCAGGAAGGTGCTTTACTTGTGGTTATAGTTTTATCACTGTTGTTCAGTCACTCAGTCGTGTCCGACTCTGCAACCTCATGGATTGCAGCATGCCAGGCTTCCCTGTCCTTCACCATCTCCTGGAGTTTGCTCAAACTCATGTCCATTGAGTCAGTGATGCCATCCAACCATCTTGTCCTCTGTCGTCCCCTTTTCCTCCTGACTTCAATCCTTGCCAGCATCAGGGTCTTTTCTAATGAGTCAGCTTGTTGCATCAGGTGGCCAAAGTATTGCTGCTGCTGCTAAGTCACTTCAGTCGTGTCCGACCCTGTGCGACCCCATAGACAGCAGCCCACCAGGCTCCCCTATTCGTGGGATTCTCCAGGCAAGAACACTGGAGTGGGTTGCCATTTCCTTCTCCAATGCATGAAAGTGAAAAGTGAAAGTGAAGTCACTCAGTCGTGTCCGACTCCTAGCGACCCCATGGACTGCAGCCCACCAGGCTCCTCCGTCCATGGGATTCTCCAGGCAAGCGTGCTGGAGTGGGTTGCCAGGCCAAAGTATTGTAAAGAGTACAAATTGAGTTTTATTGTACAAGAGGGCAAAAAGAGTTTTATGTAAAGAGTAAAAATCAGGACCAGTCAAAAGAAACCAATGGGGTGACGTCTGGAAGGGCCCCAATTTCGAAGCTTCTGTGTCCTCAGGATATGTTGCCCTTTCCAGCCCATCAATGTGTGTCATAGCCTGGGAAGGTCACCTGAGCTTTGGCTGTCCAGAGGCTTCACTGGGACTTCATTACTTCTGACTGATTGAATTACTTGGCAGAGTAGTTGCCAAGTAATTGAATTCAATTTCCAGTCTGCTTTTTGTGTCTGGAATAGCCAAGCAGATGTTCAGAGATCATAAGACTCAAAACCCCAACCTTCTGATCACATGGTTGGTCTTTCCAGTGTGACCAGCCCCTACCCCAGAAGCTTCTAGGGGCCCAACAGGAATCACCTGTTTGACATAAACTCAGGTGTGATCTTAGGGGCCCACCATGAACAACAAAGATACTCCTGTCACTTGGGAAATATGGTAAAGGATCTGCCTGCAGTGCAGGAGACCCGGGTTTGGTCCCTGGGTCAGAAAGATGCCCCAAAGAAGGGAGTGGCTTCCCACTCCAGTATTCTTGCCAGAAAAATCCCATGGACAGAGGAGCCTGGTGGGCCACAGCCCAGGGTGTCGCATGGAGTCAAGACACAACTGAGCAACATTCACTTTCCAGAAACCAGAGACAAAGAGCAGCATTTATTATACAGTGGAGTCATTACGGAAGCAGTGCAGGGACTTCTCTGGTGGTCCAGTGGTTAAGACTATGCACTTCCACTGTTGGGGGTGTGGATTCGATCCCTGGTTGGGGAATGAAGATCCCGCATGCCATGTGGTTTACCAAAAAATAAAAATTAAAGCGTAGTCCAGCTGGCTGAGATACGTAAGGAGTGAACATTCCTAGTTTTATTTAGTGTTTCCTGTGAGAAATTATCAGTGATTTAATGGGAAGAGCATTGCCTTGGAGGAGGATGCCCTGAGCTTTGATTTTCCACCTGCCACTTGTTTGCTATGTGATCTTAAGAGATACCTAAACCTCATCCTTTTATTTTTTTCTATAAAAATGTTGAACTAGGTGATTTTTAAGATTCCCTAGAATGCTTGAGTTTGGGATTGACATGTGCAGACTGCTATATTGAAAATGGATAACCAACAAGGACCTACTGTATAGCACAGGGAACTCTGCTCGATGTTATGGGGCAGCCTGGATTAGACGGGAGTTTGGGGAAGAATGGGCACATGTATATGTGTGGCAGAGTCTCTTCACTGTTCACCTGGAACTGTCACAGCATTGTTCATCAGCCATGCCCTAATCCAAAGTAAAAAGTTAAAAAAAAGATTCCCTTGAACCCTAGCCTTTTTGTGAGTCAAAAATAGCTTTGATCACACATTGGAGTATACTTGAAAGCTATCCTGTAAAGCTAGTTTTGTCACAGTCCTCATCACTCTTCAGTTAGACCAATTAAAAATAAAACAAAAAGACTTGAGATTTCAATAGGAAAATAGATATAAGGGAGTTTACTTAGATGAAAAAAACCCACTACATTTAAAGGAAAAGATTTAAATGCTGTTTAACATTTTGGATGGCAAATTGTAGTTTAACTCATGATGGCACTTGGGTAGAGGATTGATAGTCACTTAGCTGGTTTAAAGACTGATTCATTTATACAGTTTCTCAATTAAAAAAAATAACTTTCTGTCCACCCCTGTGTAGGGATTTTAGCCATTGGTTTGATTAACGAAGCCCTGGATGAAGGTGATGCCCAGAAGACCCTGCAGGCCTTGCAGATTCCCGCAGCTAAACTCGAGGGGGTCCTCGCAGAAGTGGCCCAGCATTATCAGGACACACTGATCCGAGCAAAGAGAGAGAAGGCCCAGGTGAGTGGCCCTGAATTGTTCTTTCTGTTCAGAGAATGCCATCCATCTTAGAGCCGAGACGGGGTGGAGGGCGGGGGCGTTCACTCAATGACTCTCTTCCCTGGGCACCCTTAGATTCAGAGCAGTGGAATACACATGGTATAAGAGTCATAGACTCCGCCTTCCAGAACTTGTGCTATTTTACGCATTTGGTTTGTTTGTTGGTGTTTGTTGTTATGGTTGTAGACACACCTTATGTCTCTACATAAATTCTCTGTTGAAACATAAGATCCAGGAAAATGTGTCAGTTATTTAAGTATATGGTTGTATAAATGTTCAAGTGAGCATACCTATGTAACTGGTGCTTGGATTATAAAAAGCAATAACAGAAACCCCCTTATATCCTTATTCACTCCCTACAGCATGCTGGTAACCAGCATCCTGATTTCTGACACCACAGTTGATTTTTGTCTGGTTTTGAACTCTATTTAAATGAGATCATACATTATTTACTCTTGTGTCTGGCTTCTTTTGTCCCACATAATGTTATTGAAATTCATCCATGTGGTTGCATGTAGCAGTAGTTGGTTCATTCTTATTGTTATATACTATTTTGTTTTGTGGTTACATATTCTGTTATTAGTGAATTTTTGGTTGTTTCTCACTTGCTATTGCAATTAGTGCTTCTGTGAATATTTTAGTACATGTCTTTTGGTAAATGTACATATGCATTTCCATCAAGTATACATTTAGCAGTGGAATTTGTGGGTCATAGGGAATACATATGTGAAGCTTTAGTAAATAATGCCATTAAGTTTTTTTTTAATAATGGCTTTATTGAGATACAGTTCAATTTCCATATAGCTCACTACTTTAAAATGTACAGTTCAGTGGTTTTTCATCTTTCATAGGCAATCAATTTTACAGCATAACCAAAATCAATTTTGCAGCATTTTCATCACCCCAAAAAGAAACCTGGGGGACTTCCCTTGTGGTCCAGTGACTGAAACTCCAAGCTCCCAGTGCAGGGGGCCCAGGTTCAATCCCTGTTCAGGGAACTAGATTCCACATGCTATAACTAAAAGATCCTGTGTGCCGCAACTAAGACCCAGCAAAGCCAAATAAATAAATTTCTTTTTTTTGAAAAGAAAGAAAATCGGTACCCGTCAGTACCGAGTCGTTACCCTCCCGTCTCTTCAGCTCTGGTACCCGTCAGTCTGCTTTCTGTGTGTGGATCTGTCAGTTCTGGACATTCCATATAAATGAAATCATCAGTACAAGGTGTGGTCCTTTGTGACCAGCTTCTTTCACTTAGCTTGGTTTATTCAAACCATAGCATGCATTAGTATTTTCTTTTTATTGTTGAACAATATTCCATTGTATGGCTACACCACATTTTATTTATCTATTCAGGAGTTGATGATCATGTTTCCACTTTGTGACTGTTAGGGATAATGCTGCTACGAATATGTTTTCCAAAGTAAATGTCACACAGACAGTTTTAAAAAGTTTGTCTCGCCTCTCAGCCAGTTTGTTGAGGAAATGGATGATTTACACCTTTTTTAGTTCTCTTGATGAATAGGAAGTCGCCGTGTGTTTAGTAGGCCCTCAGTTGTTTGTTCTGTGATTAAAGCGTAATGACCATCTGTTTGTCTGAATTGTGGTTCATCTCCTTTTAAATTCTTCTAACTAACAACAGTTGGAAAAGGACCTCCTCAACAGTTGTGCTGAGGCCTACAACCTTGAAGATCCCTGCCATGACGTTCTTGCAGCAGTCAGAAGAGCTAAAAGAATTTCTTTATTCAGGAGGTCAGATTCTTTCTGGAAAGTCAAAAGTAGTAAAACAGACCAGGGCTTTTGTATAATTGGAGGTTTTGTACACTGACACCCTTGTGGGTTCTGTAAGTTTGGGCTGTGGGGCAGGAGTTGTAGATAATACAATTTTTTTTTAAGAGGCAAAAATCAACTATGGTATTAGTCCAGTGCCTAGATTTTATTTTTAAAATTTATGTATTTATTTAGGCTGCATTGGTCTTTGTTGCTGTGCATAGGCTTTCTCTAGTTGTAGAGAGTGGGGGCTAGTCTCTAGTTGCACTGCGAGGTCTTCTTATTGCAGTAGCTTCTCTTCTTGTGGAGCATGGGCTTTAGGGTGTGTGGGCTTCAATAGTTGTGCACATAGGCTTTTGGTGCCCCTTGGCATGTGGGATCTTCCTGGACCAGGAATTGAACTGGTGTCCCTGCATTGGCAGGCAGATTCTCAACCACTGGACCACCAGGGAAGCCCCATAATATAGTGTGGATAGATCTCCTTTGATTCTGTTATCATGAGAGTACTTGACATTAATGTGTCCTAAATGTATACATGTAGCAAGTACCAGGTTCCTTTTAAGATCATTATTATGCATGTCAGTTGATCCTGTGCTGTGAGTTGAATCACAACTCCCAGGAAATTTTATAGCCAGGAAATGGAGACAAAGACATTAACTAGTTTTACTTACTCTAGTGAGAAACAGTTGGCCATCAGTTCAGTTCAGTCGCTCAGCTGTGTCCAACTCTTTGCGACCCCATGAATCGCAGCACACCAGGCCTCCCTGTCCATCACCAACTCCCGGAGTTTACTCAGACTCATGCTCATCGAGTTGGTGATGCCATCCAGCCATCTCATCCTCTGTCGTCCCCTTCTCCTCCTGCCCCCAATACCTCCCAGCATCAGGGTCTTTTCCAATGAGTCAGCTCTTCACATGAGGTGGCCAAAGTATTGGAGTTTCAGCTTCAGCATCAGTCCTTCCAATGAACACCCAGGACTGATCTCCTTCAGGATGAACTGGTTGGATCTCCTTGCAGTCCAAGAGACTCTCAAGAGTCTTCTCCAACACCACAGTTCAAAAGCACCAATTTTTCGGTGCTCAGCTTTCTTCACAGTCCAACTCTCACATCTATACATGACCACTGGAAAAACCATAGCCTTGACTAGATGGACCTTTGTTGGCAAATTGTTGTCTCTGCTTTTTAATATGCTATCTAGGTTGGTCATAACTTTCCTTCCAAGGAGTAAGCGTCTTTTAATCTCATGGCTGCAGTCACCATCTGCAGTGATTTTGGAGCCCAAAAAAATAAAGTCTGACACTGTTTCCACTGTCTCCCCATCTATTTCCTATGAAGTGATGGGACCAGATGCCATGATCTTAGTTTTCTGAATGTTAAACTTTAAGCCAACTTTTTCACTCTCCTCTTTCACTTTCATCAAGAGGCTTTTTAGTCATAGGAAGCCATAAATGGAGGTCTGTCTGGGATACCAGTTTGTTGGATCAGAGCTTCCCAAACTTGACTGATCACTAGAAACCTTGAAAGGTCATTTTTAAAATACAGATTCCTGAGCTTTAACTCTGTTTCTACTAATTCAGAATCTCTAGTATGGGGCCTGGCTGCTGTGATTCTGCACAGGCCAGTGGTGGTCATGTTGTCTTTTGCTGCCTTATTAGTCCAGGAGGAGTGGACTTTGAAAGAATGAACTAAGTCTGGGTCCATGTCTAAAAAAGGAAAGAAGTTTGAGGATATAAGTTGTACCTGCTTTCATCATGTGTCAGGCCTCACTGCTCCTTTTGTTTGGGTCCTGGGAGTTAAACTTTTAGAGGATGTGACTAGAGTTTGAAGCATTTCCTTTTGCTGTGGAATAACTTTCCAGAGTCCATCAAAGGCAGAAGAATAGGGAGAATTAGAGGAAAATTTACTTACACTGCCAGGTTCAGTTGGGTACACTATAGTTTAGGTATAATTGTCTTTTTTTTAAGCTTCAGCTCAGCTTTTAAGTTCCTCGTGGGAGTAGTTTTAAAAATAGCCATCTGAGTTCCAAATTTAGCAAGCGAAAGAGCTTAATTTAAATTTGGTCTGTTTTTCTTGTGTTATCTCTGTGTCTGGTTTTGGTATCAGAGTAATAAAGGCCTGATAGAATGAATTGAGTACTGTTCCATCCTCTTTTAGGTTTTAGACAAGTTTGTAAAGGATAAATGTTAGTTCTTTAAACATTTGGTAGAATTCACCAGTGAAGTCATATGGTCTGAATTTTTGGTTTGGTTTTATCTTTGTAGGATGTGTTTTGATTTTTTTTTTAAACTGATTTTTATCTCTATATTTGGTATAGGTCTGTTCAGATTTTCTTCAAGTAAAATGCCTCTTTTTCTTTCACTTTGCCTTTAGGGAATTCCGTTATGCATATATCTTCCCTCTACTCAAATCTGCTGAATCCCTCTAGTGAATATTTCAGTTATTGTATTTTTCAACTCCATATTTTAAAGTTTCTTTAATATATATGTGTGTGTGTGTGAGAGTCTCTATTTGGTGAGGCATTATTCTCATTTCCTTTGGTTATTTGAACATACTTTAGATTGCTGACTTATGTTTTTGTCTGCTTTGTTGTCTGCTTTATTTTTTTTTCCTCTTTGGACCATGCTTTCTTGTTTTTTTATACATATCTTGTAATTTTTGGTTGAAAGTTAGACATTTTAATAATATAATAGAGAAGGTTTGGAAATCAGATTCTACCCCTCCTTGGGGTTTATTACTGTGCCAGCTCATTTCAGTTGTTTTTTTCTTAGTGATTTTCAGTTCTTTCAAGTCTGTATTCTTTGTCATGTGTGTCCACTGAAGTCTCTGCTTGGTTAGCTAGTGGTCAGCTAATGATTAGACAGAAATTTCCTTGAATGCCTAGAACCAGCAAAGCTTCCAGCCTTTGCTGAGGGGCTTTGTATGTGTTGGGGCCTGCCTTCAACACTCAGCTAGGCAGTTCACAGTTTTGCTTTAACCTTCACTTCATGCTTGCCCAGAGCCTCAGGGTCAGAGGTTACAGTCTTATCAGATCTTTTTTGAGCATGTGCAGAGCCTACACATTTACTATCATCTTCTCGATCCCCATCCCAGGAGTTTGTCAGAGCTTTTCAAAGCTGTCTGTGGACATCTCATTCTCTAGCTTTTCCTTTGAAGTTTTGTGTTTTTTTTTTTTTTTTCTGTGCTCTGCAGCTTGTGGGATCTTAGTTCCCCAACCAAGGATTGAACTTCAGGAATTGAACTCTCCCTTGGCGGTGAGAGCCTGGAGTCATAAACACTGGACCGTCGGGGAAGTCCGTCCTTTTAAGCTCTTCGGTTAGCCTATTTTTGCCTAAGTGTTTATCCACTGCCCCAGACATCTCTGATGTGAAGCAGTTACCTCTTACTGTTTCGGACAGATACTCCAGAAAGGCTCTTTGCACTGGGCACGCTCTGAGTCAGGTCAAATAAAGAGAACCTAGCTGTGGTCTTCCACGGAACTCCCTAATGTGTCAACTAATGACAGTTCTCTGGGAATAGATAGATTTGAAGCAGGAAGGTGTGTATGGGGTGGGAGCGGAGGGGATGGGCAGAGCACAAAAAGGCAATAAAGCCATTTAAAGCGCCACAAACCTCACTCTTCTTACAGAGAGTCAACTGTTCTTGAATAGACTCTCTCTGACTGCTGGAAGCCTTTGGTTAATTTCTGGATTTTTGAAAAAGTTGATTCTGATGATTTTTGCCAGTGTTTTTGTTGCTTTTATGTAGAAGGGATATTTGGAGGTCCTGCCTCCACTGTTTTCACCAAGTTACTTCCCTCTTCATTTAAATTTAGTGCCTTGGGAATACTTGCTAAAAGTAGATTACTGGTCATTGGGTTAGTATTGTTTGAATGCCAAGGCATGGTATTAGTGATGCCTAAAGCTTAGCTTCTATGTACAGCAGTGCCAAATTGAATCTCAAAGACAGAATTTTGAGTGGAATAGAAAAGAATAGCTTTATTAGTTTGCTAGGCAAAGGGGGACACAGCAAACTCCTGCCTTGAAAAGCTACATGTCCCCACTTGGGGAAGACAGTGAGAAGTTTTATAGACTGATGGATGGGTAGCGAAGTAAGGAAGAGTCAGCGTCATCAACCTTCGGGTCCATCTGGTCTGGGGTCTACATGCTTGTGGGCAGAATACCAAACTCAGGGAAGGTCCCAGAGGCTGAATGAAAGCTTTTTCCTATAATCAAAGAAATGGGAGACAGAAAGACCTTGTGCCCAGGAACCCTACAGGGCCCTGCCTCAGTATCATTAGGGGTTCTCAAGGAACTCATAATTATAAATATGAATAATGTTTAAGTCTTGCTTTTCCTCACCCACCCCACAGTCTGTGTGTACACAGGCATGCATACATGCATGTAGCCCAAAACCAGCAGGTGTGCACTGACACAGCTGGACCAGTTGTTAGAATATTGAATACGTTTGGTACACTGCCCCTGTCCCAAACCTCCCAAATGTGTGGCACCCCCAGTTCTAGCTCTTTCCCTGAGCGTTTACTGTGAGCAACTAGAGGATCAATACCTAAACCATCAAGGCTCCACTTTGAATGGTCAGCACTTGTGTTAATAAATGTTTTATAGATTCATGTATGTGTGTTTCATGTGTATATGGTATTATGATGCTTTAATGTATATCTATATGTATGTATAGCACGGTTAATATACGTGATGAGTGCTAAGATATTACATTTATATTACACATATATGTGTCTACACATTTATGAATATTTTAGGAATCATGACATGTACATACATGCCACATAAAACAAGAGAGACTTTTAAGGAGGTTTTAAGGGGTGAGAAGTGCCCTTTGTGGGCTTCCCTGGTAGCTCAACTGGTAAAGAATCCGGGTCAGGAATATCTGCTGGAGAAGGGATAGGCTACCCACTCCAGTATTCTTGGGACTCCCTGGAGGCTCAGACAGTAGAGAATTCACCTGCAATGTGGGAGACCTGGGTTCAGTCCCTGGGTTGGAAAGATTCCCTGGAGAAGGGAATCTGCCCACTCCAGTATTTTTGCCTGGAGAATTCCATGGACAGAGAAGCCTGGCCAGCTACAGTCCATGGTGTCGCAGAGTCGGACACGACTGACTGGCTTTTCACTTTCACAGTCCCCTTTGCAAATGTCTGCGCTTTTGTATATATACATACAGATGGTAACTGCTCTTCTTTTGTCTGTCTGCCCTTTCCTCTCCCTGTATCTTGTGGTTTCTCCACCTCTTTTACCCCAATCACTGCCCACTCCTTGGGTTCTTATTTCTGGTCCCTGGCTCTTTACCTCTTCTAAAATGCAATCAGTGTGCTTCAAAGTGTAGTCAGAGATGTCAGGGGATGTTATTTCGGTATATTTTATATGGCATTTTCACATTAAATCTGTTTCATCTTAATATCCTCCACAATATCTTGTTCAGGTTTTTAACTCTGTCGAGTGGTTTGAGTTAATCCTTAGAGCAGACTCTCACAGGAGGATGTTGGGTTTTGTCATCTGATTTGATCTAATTGGAGCAGCGAATTCCTCTTCTTTCCTTACACTGGGATGATGGTGTATGTCATCTGTCTTGCCTCTTTCAGTCAGAGGAAGGTCATTTCTATCTCATTTTCCCCTGACCCACCTAAGACACAGATCCAGTGTTTTTTTTTTTTTTTTCCTTTCATACCACAGCTCTGTCACTTGTTTCTTAGGAATGTATGAAATGTATGTATATATGAAAATGCTTGTTTTAATCCTCCTGCTTTAGTCTGCATGGGACAAAGATGACAGAACTCTGGATGGTCAGAATTTTTTTTCTTAATATTTATTTATTCAGCTGCACCAGGTCTTTGTTGTGGCACAGGGGATCTTCGATCTTCATCTTTGATCTTAGTTGCAGCATATAAGATCTAGTTCCCTGACCAGGAACTGATTGAACCTGGGTTCCCTGCATTGGGAGCATGGAATCTTAGCCCCTGGACCAGCAGGGAAGTTCCCTGGATGGTCAGAATTCTTGATAAGCTGCACCTTTCTCCAGATGCAGGGAAAGCTGAGCCAAACCTCCTGGCTTTGCTTACAGGAGATTCTGTGCAGAGATAGCTCATGTATGATTAGCCTAAAAGTGAACCTCCAAATGACCTGATTCTGTGGAAGTACCCATTTTTAGGGTGCAAGGATGTTTACGCCACTTCTCTCAGAGACCACAGCTTCAGCTGTCTAGCTCATGACTTCTCAGTTTAAGTTGTCACTGACTCAGTATATTATCTCATATTGAAACTATTGCTTAGCATTGCCAGTATTTATTCATAGGACTCTTGAGAGTTGTGTGTGGCCATTTTCTATTTTGAGTAACAGAAACTGACCATTGGTAGAAAACGGCTAAGTTCTGAAGCTATTAGGTGACTTGTTCTTGTGTTCTGTTTATTGGGGTCCTTTTATCCTTTACCAAGACTATGAGCTTCTTACATTGGGACAGTGCCTATGATTGTAAGCTCAGTACTTAACATAATTTAAAGTGGTCTTTCTTTCTAAAACTTTGCATTTGAGTGAAATCATTACTTTGGATTTCAGGTGCCTTCTTTTGGCCTCACCCTGTCACCAAGGCACTTTGTAAACTGCTGGGATTTGTGACTTCTTGGCTTGGCTGAATGAAATAGTGTCTCTTCCCAATAACACAGGAGGAAAGCCAAGCCTCATCTGAGATTTTGTAGTTTCTTCAACTGCTGGGTGTGCTGAAGACAGTGAAATTTTCCATTTTCCCCCAAAGCCAAGACCCTGCCTCAGCTGACAACACAGAGTAACTGACCCCAGCTGTCTCCTGGGTGCCTTGGCAAATTATATTTATATCAAGTAGTCTTGAAGGATTTTTGAGCTACTATTTATCCCAACTGCTATTAGCTCAAGCCTCAGGAGTAGTTGTTCTTGCCGGGTCTGCCAAGGTTGTCTCAAACACAGTTCTCCCAGCCTGGTCACTTTGAAACCCAAGGTGCCTTTGCCTGGAAGGAGAAAAAGACTCCATTTCTGTCTCACCCTTGTTCCTAGTATTCAACTCAGACTTCACTGGGCTGGAGAAACTCTTGTTGGCCACACTGAGTAAACTAATCACCATTTATTATGTTTCCGTGTGAAGATGTGTCTCTGAGTTTCCAACAGCTGTTTTAACTTTCAAGTTTTAGAATATAAGCCAATGATAAGCTTAAGTTCCCCATAGTAACTCCTAGCTTTACATGTGATAAGGTCTTGATAGTCTTAAAAATAGTGGTCATAGAGAATGTATTGTTATTGTTGTTTAGTTGCTAAGTCATGTCTGACTCTTTGCGACCACATGGACTGTAACCTGCCAGGCTCCTCTGTCCATGGTATTTCCCAGGCAAGAATACTGGAGTGGGGTGCCATTTCTTTCTCCAGGGGATCTTCCCAGATCAGGGATCGAACCTGTGTTTCCTGAATTGGCAGGCGTATTCTTTACCACTGAGCCACCAGGGAAGCCCCCCCAAATATGTAGAGAATATTTACTCCCTCTGAATATTGCTGGCAAAGAAGGCTTTTTTTTAAAAAAAGTACTGCATATTCACATGCATGCTGTGGTCCTTGCCAGTGTTTAAGTCCCTGGGTCTCTTCCCAGTTTGGACCTTTTGCTCCTTCTAGCTGCTCTTGTCCACCTGAATGACTGGAATTCACCTTCCTACACCTGTCACTTACATTTGAGGTATTTTTCGTGTAACCCTTTTACCAGTTTTTGATGTTGGCTTCTTCCAGTTGACTATTCCATATGTCTTATCTTGTATGTTTGAAACCTCTTCCTCTGTCTCTCATTGAGTCTCAGAAGCCACCATCATGGCATGTACCCTGATTTCATGACTCTAAGATCATTTTGCTCTTAATGGTTTGTAGGAAACCCAGGATGAGTCAGCTGTGTTATGGTTGGATGAAATTCAAGGTGGAATCTGGCAGTCCAACAAAGACACCCAAGAAGCACAAAGGTGTATGTATCAGTTTATTTCTGTTCTGATCGAAAGTGGGAGGTGGCAAGGTGTTCCGTAGCTCAGTACTCAGCTTGACCAAGATAGAGGGCTGGGGATTCTCTGATTGCCTAGTGGTTACAACTTGGCACTTTCATCACAGAGGCCCAGGCTCTATCCCTGAATGGGGAACCATGCCACTTGCCGGGTGGTGTGGCCAAAATTTTAAAAAAAAAAGATAGTTGCAGGGGGGACAGTATGCTAGTAAGCAAATCTAGATGCTTTCTAAGCTATTCCAGTAACAGTTCTCTCCTGGGATAGTTGCCTTAGGAATCTTTGCCATCAATGAAGCAGTGGAGAAAGGCGATGTTGGCAAAACACTCAGTGCCCTTCGTTCCCCCGACGTTGGGTTGTATGGCGTCATCCCCGAATGTGGTGAAACTTACCAGAGTGACCTTGCTGAAGCCAAGAAGAAAAAACTGGCAGCAGGTGAGTTATGGGTAAATCAATATGTGTCCTGAAAGTAAGAGCTTAGAAATACCACGGAACTGAGGAAGAGGAAAGGGACAAGCTATAGGGAAAGGTACTGAAGAAGTACAGTAGGGGGCTTACTGTAAAGACCCAAGGAGATAATATTCCTATGTTTAAAAATAACGTTTTCTTCCCCTTGAGTACGGCTAACGTTAAGAAGGTCAGTTTTCTGAAAATGTTTCTTTCATAGGATATAGTTCTGATTACCTAAGCCTATAAGATACTTAAAAGTAGTTCATCTGCAGAAAGGGGGGAATAAAGATAAGATATTTTATCCCGTTTTATGCCCCTCCCTTTTTTGAAAATTAACTAGAAAGACTGAATGGTTGCAGTCTTTTATGAAAACAGTTTTCTGACACAAGTGGTCTTACTTCAGTGTAGGCTTTGAAAGGAACAGAGGTAGTCAAGGTCAGTTTCCACATGTGGACTTCATAGGTATTTTCTTTTTATAGTGTGGACATGAATGAGCTATATGTTACAGAGTCATAATTTAAGAGGGACTTAGGATCCCTCTTTACTCTCACAGACCCAAGGGGTAGGCTTTGGGAATGGTGTTCATTTAGGTTGTTCAGCCTGATCAGAGTGATCCTATAGGATTAGACATGTGGCTGTGGGGAGTGTGGCTCTGAGTTTCTTGGATCTTTCCTTTATTTTATGTCAGGAGACAACAACAGCAAGTGGGTGAAGCACTGGGTGAAAGGTGGATATTATTATTACCACAATCTGGAGACCCAGGAAGGAGGATGGGACGAACCCTCAGACTTTTTGCAGAATTCCATGCAGCTTTCTCGGGAGGAGATCCAGGTAGGTCACATTTCTTCACAAAAGGAGCTGAGAGACAGTACCTGTAGGTTAGAGGTTATACTACTTAGGAAGAACAAGGGTAAATACAACTACTCTTAATCTTTCCCAATTTACATACTTAATCTCTTTTCTGACTATCCCACAAACTCCAAACTTTACTGTATTAGAATATAGCCTGCACTTTCACATAAAGTTAGCATTTTTTTATCACAGCTTTCAAAGCATGTCTTTCCCATCCCCTATGTCTTTGCTGATGCTGTTCATTCTTTTTAGGATTTCTTCATTCATTTGACACTTTCTGAACACCTCCTGTCCTCCTACATGTACCAGATATTCTTCTGCGCATCAGAGGTGTAATCATAAACAAAACAAAGTCGCTGCTAATGTGAGATGTCCCTCCCCTGCCATCTACATCTGTCAGAATTCTGGCCGTCCAGGCACACCCGTCTCAAGTGTCACCTCCTCTGTGTAACGTAGATCAGTGCTCTCCAGAACTTAACGCGTGTATGTGAAAAACAAACAAACAAACAAACAAACGTGTGTGAGAGTCACCTGGGACCCTGGTGACATGAAGCCTGACTCTGTGGGTCTGACGGGAGGCCTGAAATCCTGCGTTTCTGACCAGCTCCCAGGTGATACTGGTGCTGCTGGTTCAAGGATATACTTTTAAATACCACCTACTTACATAATCATGTCTCCCTTGTCTTTGAAAAAAAAAAAGACAAAAATTTTAATCCTGTAGAGCTCTCCTGATTCAGTCTTGCCTGTAAGTTCATACTCTGTTCTTACTAAATGCCTTTAAGCCAGTCTGTCCTTCATGAATTCATTCTCCATTACCATTCAGGTCTTAGCTCATGGCTATCCAGCTCTTACTTTAGTAAAACTCCTGCTTTAGACTGTATCAGTGGCCTTTTAATTGCCAAGTTCAGCGAGGAGGTGTGCTCTCGTCATAGGTGACCCTTCGGTGTATCTGCTTCCTTGAACCCTCGACTCTTTCGGCTTCTCCAGTGCTGTTCTCTTCTGGGTCTACTTCTGAGTTTCCCTTCTTAATCTCTCTCTCCTTTTGTTTCCTCTGACTCCACTTGCGTTATATCTGGGTTCCATCAGCCCCCTTCTCTTCCTCTGTATAGTCTTCCTCAGTCATCTCATTCAAGCCAGTAGCCCCAGTTTTCACCTGTGTGTTTGCAAACCTAAATCTTGTTCCTTCAGACTCACTGCCCACCGCCTTAGTCCTTCTCCTCACCACCAGATTTGCCTTTCCATCTTCAGTCTAGAAGTCCAGCGGACACCTCAGCACAGTTTGACAGGAAAATCAGGGCTGGACTAGTACATAAAGGTGTATTTTTTTTTTCTTCACATAAAGTAATTCTGAAGTTGAGCATCCAGGGAAGGTGTGGTGGCTCCACGATCTGGTCTGTCCCAGGGTTCCTCCGTCTGCCATTCTCAAGGTCACCTTGTCATCCAGAAGGAAGGCAGGCAGGAAGTAGGAAGACGGGGAGGAGAGCAGACAGGCCTGATGCCAGCTGTCTGTCTCTCTTAAAGAGCTTTCCTTCCCAAAGATCTTACCAAGATGCTTCTGCTTGCATCCCATGGACTGTCCCTAGGTCACATAGTCTTTTTGTTTCTGTTTATTTGGGGGTTTTTTTTGGCTGCACCGCGCGTCATGTGGGATCTTAATTCCCTGACCAGGGACCAAACCCATCCCCCCTGCAGTGAAAGCACAGAATCTTAACCACTGGACTGCCAGGGACTTCCTCATGTAGTCTTTTAACTGTACATATTTTCCCGGGTGGGGGGTGGGGGGGATGGAAATAGCTCTGATATCAAAGACAAGAAGGGGCCATGGCTATCAGATGGGTTTGCAGGTGTTATCAGTAACCATTCTCAGCATTCCTGCCCTCACCTGGGGTGATCCAGGGCTGCTCTCACTTGGATCATATGCTACCAGGATTCTAATTCACCTGCTCACGCTGATCTGCCAGCTATCCAGCTAACTATGCTGCTTTTCTAAAAACACATCTAATAGTTTTATTCCTCTTTGAAAGTTTGCTGGTTCTCCAGGGCTGGTAGTAACAGTCCAGACACGCTAGGCTGCTTCTCCAGACCATCTGTGGTCTATCCACTCCCCCACAGGGCCCTCTGTGGCGTTCCAGGGGCTCCAGGCCTTGGTAGCACCTATCTCTCTGTCTTCTTGTCAGTATGACCCCAGATCAGCAAGCACAGTTCCTGGGATGGTCAGCGTTAGGTAGGTGAGTGAGTAAAGGAAATAACATGAGGTCAAAGAAGGTCTCGTTTTTGACTCCTTGCTGGGGGATGTGAGGGCAGCTTGGCCTTGAAAAATAGACCTGAAGTCTTCATTCCTGTTTCTTGGCTAAAGATCTAGTATAGCGGCTTCCCTGGTAGCTCAGTGGTAAAGAACCCACCTGCCAATGTGGGAGGCGTGGTTTTGATCCCTGGTCCAGGCAGATCCCACATGCCAAGAGGTCACTAAGCCCGTGCACCGCAACTACCAAACACCAAACTCTAGAGAACTCAAGAGAGGCCATCGCAATGAGAAACCAGTGCACCTCGACTGGAGAAAGCCTGTGTGCAGCAAGGAAGACCTAGTGCAGCCAAAACACTAAATAAAAAAGCTAATCACACTGTATTTTTAAAAAATCTAGTATAGCCTTGGCAAGCTGTGAGCATTAGTGCGTGCACTGGAGATGACACTGTGTTAAAACTCTGTACGTGTATGTCTTCTCACGTGACTGCTGTGTTTTTCAGAGTTCCATCTCTGGGGTAACGGCTGCGTATAACCGGGAACAGCTTTGGCTGGCCAACGAAGGCTTGATCACCAAGCTGCAGGCTTGCTGCCGGGGGTACTTAGTCCGGCAGGAGTTCCGATCCAGGATGAATTTCCTAAAGAAACAGATCCCAGCCATCACCTGCATTCAGGTATTTCAGAGCCTCCTATGTGCAGACAGCAAGGGGGCTTCCAGAGCAAGACTGACGAACAGTCAGCACCTGCAGTTGAGTGTCTGAGTGTGATGAACAGTTAGGGCCTGTGGTTGAGTGACTGAGTGGGGTGTTTGCCTTCTGACCATCCCTTTCTCTCCTGCCACGTAATCAGCGTGTGCTTAATGGTGTTCAGTGGTAAGTTGTCCGGCTCAGTGCCGGCTCTTCTCGCCACCTCGCTGTCTCCTAAGGCTATCCCTTTATGTGAGATTTGAATATGGAGAGAAGCAACTGTGATTTTGCTTCAGTGCTAGGGAAGCTCAGAAAGAATTCTGGGTTAGGAGTTACGAGTCCAGCACTGTCAGGACGTGGCGAGCCCCTTCTCTGAGTTTGTGTCCTCCTCTGTAAATGCGGATGCTAATGTTTATCTTACCTTCCTCCCCGACTGGTTGTGAAGAGCCAGTGAGAGCATCTGTGTGGGTGCCCTTTGAAAAGTGTGCAGCGCTGTGCTCACTTCCGGGAGGTGGAAGTTAGCCAGGTGCTCTCCTGGTGGAGGAGAGTCCCGTCTCTCCTTCCCCATCACAGGTGGATGTGGTCCTTTTTAAGGGTGTATCACAAATTGCCCTTGGGGGAAATTTTTTAACTTCTTCTGACCCTTGGGAAATGACGTGTCTTCTGTAACATTTGGGTTTCAGTCTCAGTGGAGAGGATACAAGCAGAAGAAGGCGTACCAAGACCGCTTGGCTTACCTGCGCTCCCACAAAGATGAAGTTATAAAGGTATGTAGCCCAGGCAAGGTTTCTCATCAGCATGGCGTGTGAGCGTGACATGTGTGGAGATGAAGGGCTCTTCTCATTTCTGGGACCCCCTCTCCTTCTCCACAGATCCAGTCCCTGGCAAGGATGCACCAAGCTAGAAAGCGCTATAGAGAACGCCTGCAGTATTTCCGAGATCATGTGAGTACCCCTGGGTGAGAAGCACCAGTAGCATCAGTTTTGCTGTGTTTGCAGTGGACAGATGAACTGAGTAATTTCTTCTTTTGTGTCCCTTAGATAAATGACATTATCAAAATCCAGGCTTTTATCCGGGCAAACAAAGCTCGTGATGACTACAAGACTCTCAGTGAGTAACTGTGGCTCAGCAGAGAAGAGTTGAGGCAGTGGCTGAGAGCCATCGGGTTCTGGGTATTCTCCACGGATCTCTTTTCTTGTCCTGCAGGCAAGGCTTGGGGGGCAGGGTGCTGCTTGTGACTGAAGCCCCTTTGCTAACCCATGGCTTGGTGTCTTGCTGCTTGCCGTATCTGCCTTCCGCCTAACAACATAGCAACAGCATGACCAGGAAGACTGCACTTGGTGGTTGTCTCTGCACATCTCAAAAATAAACGAATATCTTATGTGTGAATAGAGCTGCTTTGTTTTCTTTTTTAAATATAAGACAATGCTGATGCTTTCCAAGACACAGAACTTCTTCTGGGAATGCCATTCCTTGTCTGACACATGCTTTCTCTCTGTCAGTCAGTGCCGAGGATCCACCTATGATTGTGGTCCGGAAATTCGTCCACCTGCTCGACCAGAGTGACCAGGATTTTCAGGAGGAACTCGATCTTATGAAGATGCGGGAAGAGGTTATTACCCTTATCCGTTCTAACCAGCAGCTGGAGAATGACCTCAATCTCATGGATATCAAAATCGGACTGCTGGTGAAAAATAAAATTACACTGCAGGTATGGTCCAGTGCCAGCCAGGGTCTTGGGACACTGTCCTGCTTGATACCTCTGCCTCCCCACCTTTATGCCTTGCAGGGCTGGCTTTCTTCTCAGTGAATGCTGTACGTTTTCTTTTATGTTATATAAGAAATAAATTATTTGATCACATAGCTTTGAATAGAGAAGTCTTAGCCATCCAGTGGCTAAGACTGTGCTTCCAGTGCAGGGGGCCTGGGTTCCATCCCTGGTCAGGGAAGTAGATCCCACATGACACAACTAAGAGTCTGCTTGCCACAGCTAAGACCTGGGGCAACCAAATAAATATTTTTTAAAAATAGAAAAGCGTAGATAAAAATCATCCCATTATTCCACCACTCTAACAATAATTTTGTATCCTATATTTTTATTTAGTGTAGAGGATAAGATACATTTTATATGATATAATCACGAATATTATTTTTAATGGCAGTGTAATAATTGATCAGAAAGTAGTCTGAGTCGCATCTTTTTCTTTTTTTTTTTTTTTTTTTTGAGGGTATTAAATCTTTTATTGATTACACATGATAATGGATGATACACAAGCTTCATTCCCATCTATAACTTTTATCTGGTACCATAATTCAATTTAGATATATTGCATAGGATGTGCCAACAATCATTAATAACCAAAAAAAAAACCTCCATGACTTTGCATGGGTGACCCTTTTAATGGTGAACTCCAGGTCACAACACAGTAACTGTCAGTTCAACTACACCAAGGTTCTGAAGACAACAGCTTCTCCACCAAGCAGGTTGTAAATAAATTTCAAATGGAACCTGGCATCACCCTGAAGGAATTCTAACTTCACACTGTTGGGGTAGTTTACCAAAATGGCTTCAGAGTAGACTAACTTTACACAGCACATTAAAAAAAAAAAAAAGACATTTATTCAGCATCATGATCAGACTATTACATTTAGCAATCAACAGCATGGGTGCAAAAAAAAAAATCTACATTAAAACCCTTTGTTGGAATGCTTTACACTTTCCACAGAACAGAAACTAAAATAACCGGTTATACAATTAGTCACAAGTACAGTCCTCGAGTTTTTTGCCCATACACATGAGTATTGTCTAAAACATGTCTTCTCTGTAGCAGCGAGGCCCTGCCACCACTGTGCTTGGCTGAGTTCACACATCTCTTGTAAGCTGTAGCTTCCCTGTCACTTCTCTGGCTCTCCTCTCCTGCTAAGCTTTGTTTCCTGGCAGTAATTAAAACCTTCTGCCACTGCCATAGCTACTTCTGCTGCTGGAACCACCATAGCCACCTTGGTTTCACAGTTTGGCAAAGTATTGGCCTCCACCACCATAGGGGCCAGAACCTCTGCCTCCGAAGTTTCCTCCTTTCATGGGTCCAAAATTTGAAGATTGATTGTTGTAATTGCCAAAATCATTGTAGCTTCCGCCACCTCCAAAATTGCTTCCGTCATTACCAAATCCATTATACCCATCCCCACTGCCACCATATCCGCCGCCACCACGGCTGCCACCAAAGCCACCTCGACCACTGAAGTTTCCTCCACGACCAAAGTTGTCATTCCCACCGAAACCACCTCCACGACCGCCACCAAAGTTTCCAGAACCACTTGGACCTCTCTGGCTGGATGAAGCACTAGCCATCTCTTGCTTGGACAGGGCTTTTCTCACTTCACAGTTGTGGCCATTCACAGTGTGGCGTTTCTGAATGGCAGTCTTGTCTACAGAGTCGTGGTCATCAAAGGTTACAACGCAAAGCCTCTCTTTTTGCCACTGCCTCAGTCAGTCATGATTTCAATTACTTCAATTTTTCCATACTGTTCAAAATAATCTCTCAGGTGATGTTCTTCAGTGTCTTCTTTAATGCCACCAACAAAAATCTTTTTCACAGTTAAGTGGGCACCAGGTCTTTGAGAATCTTCTCTTGACACGGCCCTCTTTGGTTCCACAACTCTTCCGTCCACCTTGTGTGGCCTTGCATTCATGGCCGCATCCACCTCCTCCACCGTGGCGTATGTGACAAACCCGAAGCCTCTGGAGCGCTTGGTGTTTGGATCCCTCATTACCACACAGTCTGTGAGAGTTCCCCATTGCTCAAAATGGCTCCTCAGACTCTCATCAGTTGTTTTAAAGCTCAATCCTCCGATGAAGAGCTTCCGCAGCTGTTCGGGCTCTTTGGGAGACTCTGATTTAGACATGACGGCAGTGGAGGCGGGGAACTCTTCAACGATGCTTTCTCGGTGGTGTCCACGGGCAGAAAGCGAGTCGCATCTTTTTCCAGACTATTTGACATTTTCAACTTTTTTTATTATAGAATAATACTGCAGTTAATGTTTCAGTGTACATGTATCTTTTATTGTATACAAGACTTTATAAGATAGACTCCTAGGCTCTTTCCCATCTTGCAAGATGGCGGGTGAAAAGGCTGAGAAGCCAGATACTAAGGAGAAAAAACCTGAAGCCAAGAAGAAGGCTGATGCTGTCAACAAGGCTAAAAAGGTGAAAGTGGTGAAGAAAGTTAAGAAGGGGAAGCCCCACTGCAGCCGAAACCCTGTCCTGGTCAGAGGAATTGGCAGATATTCCCGATCAGCCATGTACTCCAGAAAGGCCCTGTACAAGAGAAAGTATTCAGCAGCTAAATCCAAGGTCGAAAAGAAAAAGAAGGTTCGGGTCCTTGCTACTGTCACAAAACCAGTTGGTGGCGACAAGAATGGTGGTACCCGAGTGGTCAAACTTCGCAAAATGCCTAGGTATTACCCTACTGAAGATGTGCCTCGGAAACTGTTGAGTCACGGCAAGAAACCATTCAGTAAGCACGTGAGGAAGCTGCGTGCCAGCATCACTCCTGGGACCATTCTGATCATCCTCACGGGGCGCCACAGAGGCAAGAGGGTCGTTTTCCTGAAGCAGCTGGGCAGTGGCTTGCTACTTGTGACTGGTCCTCTATCCCTCAATCGAGTTCCTCTGCGTAGAACACACCAGAAATTTGTCATTGCCACCTCCACCAAAATCGATATCAGTGGTGTGAAAATCCCAGAACATCTCACTGACACTTACTTCAAGAAGAAGAAGCTGCGTAAGCCGAGACACCAAGAGGGTGAGATCTTCGACACAGAGAGAGAAATACGAGATCACAGAGCAGCGCAAGGTTGATCAGAAAGCTGTGGACTCACAAATTCTGCGAAGAATCAAAGCTGTCCCTCAGCTCCAGGGCTACCTCCGCTCTGTGTTTGCTCTCACAAATGGAATTTACCCTCACAAAGTAGTATTCTGAACTTCTTGCAAAGAACCTAATTAAATAACTTGTCCATTTAAAAAAAAAAAAAAAAAGATAGACTCCTAGAAGCTGGTTTCCTGAATCAGTGGATATTTTTAGGATTAGTTTCTTCGTAATTAGATTTGAGTAGGAATAGATTTGATTGACATACTGAAAATAGGATTCAATGTAGTGATTCCAGGGGCTCCCCATGTTTCTCAGTGGTAAAGAATCAGCCTGCCAAGCAGGAGATGTGAGTTCGACCCCTGGGTCGGGGAGATCCCCCGGAGGAGGGAGTGTCAACCCAGTCCAGTATTCTTTCCTGGAGAATCCCAAGGACAGAGGAGCCGAGTGGGCCACAGTCCGTGGGGTCCCAAAGAGTCGAACGTGACTGAGTGACTAAAACAGCAAAAAAAAAAAAAAAAAACCAGCAGGTGATAGTAGTTCTAAAGTATGTAATGGGATCCGCCAGTGCAGTAGACCTTCATGAAAGGTTTTAGGTGCTAAAAACCTTTCCATAATGCCTGGAGTTGCATCTTTGAAAGCATTTTGATTTATGTATATATGTGCTTGTTTACAGGATGTGGTTTCCCACAGTAAAAAACTTACCAAAAAAAATAAGGAACAGTTGTCTGATATGATGATGCTAAATAAACAGAAGGGAGGTCTGAAGGCTCTGAGCAAGGAGAAGAGAGAGAAATTGGAAGCGTATCAGCACTTATTTTATTTACTGCAGGTGAGTGGCTCCTGGAATCAGTACTGTAAAATTTAGTTAACTTTTTCTCAAGAAAACCTTATGCATGGAGCTCTGTGGAAGTCTTTCTGATTTCCACTGAGGGGTGAGCAGAGGGCTTGTCTTATTTTTCTTTTATTATTCAGGTACATCCTGATCCTTCAAACTGAAAAGTCTTGAATATTTGTGCCAGCCTTCACGTTACATGGAAATCACTTATCCCTTGGTTTATGTTTCAGACCAACCCCACCTACCTGGCAAAGCTGATCTTTCAGATGCCCCAGAACAAGTCCACCAAGTTCATGGACTCTGTGATCTTCACTCTCTACAACTATGCCTCCAACCAGCGCGAGGAGTACTTGCTCCTGCGGCTCTTCAAGACAGCCCTGCAGGAGGAGATCAAGTAGGGATAGATTTCTGCAGGGCCAGGAACCCCTCCCCTCCACCACAGATGCTGCCAGTTAGAGATTCAGGCCTGTCTGTGCCTTTTTTCCACACTGTGATATGTGTGAAATACTTACTCTAAAGAAGCGTCTATTTTTTATAACAATAATATATAGTATAGGACTTAACTGGTGGCTCAGCGATAAAGAACTCACCTGCCAATGCAGGAGTGTGGGTTACATCCGTGGGTCAGAAAGATCCCCTGCAGATGGAAATGGCAATCAGCTCCAGTAGTCTTGCCTGGGAAATCCCATGGACGGAGGAGCCTGGTGGGCTACAGTCGATAGGGTCGCAAAGAGTCAGACATGACTTAGGGACTAAACCACAACAGCAATATATATTATACACTAATGCAAGATAATTATACTAAAAGTACAAATTAATTACATACATGCCATATATATGTAATTAATTGGTCTTCCCTGGTGGCTCAGATGGTAAAGAATCTGCCTGCATTGTGGGAGACCTGGGTTTGATCCCTGGGTCGGGAAGATCCTCTGGAGAAAGGAATGGCTACCCACTCCAGTATTCTGACCTGAGAAATCCCATGGACAGAGGAGCCTGGTGGGCTACAGACCGTGGGATCACAAGAGTTAGACATGACTGAGTGATGAACAGTTTCAATTTCAGTTTTTCATACTATATATACTACACACCAATATAAACTAATTATATATACACAATATAAACTAATATGCTAATTATGAACTAATATAAACACTAATATAAAATGTTGCTGTTTCTGGGAGATGATAGAATAAGAGATTTGCCAGTAGTTTTAGAAACATTCTGTATTAAGATAGAATTTTTTAAAAACTGATCCAAACAAGAAACTTTCCCATCTTTAGCTAATAAGAGACCCGATCACGTTTCCATGATAAGAGCTTGCAGCAGCAGGCAGGTCCCATATTCAGATGAGAGTCGGGAAAGTTTCTAGAGAAAGAACATGTACCCACCTCTTTCCAGCTACTTCTGTTTTTAAGGAGATGGGGTCTTTAAGTAGGGAGGATCTGAAAGTTTATAGATTCGTGATTAGTTTGAATTGAACTTGTTTCTTGTGTTTTACAGGTCGAAAGTAGATCAGATTCAAGAGATTGTGACAGGAAATCCGACAGTTATTAAGATGGTTGTGAGTTTCAACCGCGGCGCCCGGGGCCAGAATGCGCTCAGACAGATCTTGGCTCCAGTGGTGAAGGAGATCATGGATGACAAGACCCTCAACATCAAAACTGACCCCGTGGATATTTACAAATCTTGGGTTAACCAGATGGAGTCCCAGACAGGAGAGGCGAGGTATGATCATCACAGCCCCTTTTTCTTTCATGTTTTTAGTATTTTCTCTCTCTTTTTAAGCGGTTAATATTTCTTTGATTTGAAAGTTAGTAATTGTTCAAATAGTTTTCCCATAAAAACCTCTTCTTTAAGTAGTTGAGTTGGTAATTTCTTCACTTATTTAGCAGATATTTATAGAGTACTTCCTAAGTGCTAGACAGTGGGTTAAATGCACATTTGGTAATATGATATTGGGGACTTCCCTGGCGTTTCAGTGGTTAAGACTTCACTTTCTAAGTGGGGTGGGGTGTGGATAATCTCTTGTCGGGGAGCTGAGATCCCACCTGCTTCTCAGCCAGAACAAAACATAAAACAGAAGCAATATTGAAACAAATTCAATAAAGACTTTAAAAATGGTCTGTATTAAACAAACAAAAAAAATACAATAACAGATGAGACATACAATAATGATTGAAACCAACACACTCCCTGCCTTCTGTTCATAGTTTGGAGAGATGAGACAGGTACATAGAAACGAAGTTGCAAGCTGAGGGGAGTTCTGTAGTTTTGTAGGGAGCTGTGATGAAGCATACAAGTGGGAGCTAACTTAGAGTGGTTGGAGAGAGCCTCTCTGAGCAGGTACCGTCATGTAGCCGAGGCTGGAGGATGCAGTGGGCCCTGCCAAGTGCAGAGTCTTCCTGTCCAAATGCCGGCAGGTGAAGGGAGCTCTGAGAGCCTGGGACTGGAAGGACACAGGCATCGCAGAAATGGGGTTAGGTAGGAAGAGAGACCTGGATCTGAGTGAGATCTCTGTGTTCTGTGAGAGGGAACAGGAGATGCTGTGGGCCAATGGTGAGCTGCCCTGGATCACTGCAAGTTGGGCCAACTAAATTACTGTAATCCAGGAGACTTCTGTGCCTGGGCCATAGTTTACCACCTATGTGAATACATCCAGAGCAGGAATGTGTCACCAGAATATGGGAAATGCTGGGGAAATACAGCTCAGAGAGCCAAAATGTTTCTGATTTTATCCAGCTTGGGTGAGGGCTAGAGATGTGAGCAGAGTGGTCTGCAGTGGGTTTCTCATTTGGTGTAGAGTAGGGTTAGATCACGCGTGAGGTTCTCAGGGGTAATCTTCAAAATTCAGATCTCCTGTCCCTTAAATGGCTCTCCCTGGCTTCTGGGAAAGTCCAGACTTAGCAATACACACAGGGCCCTCCATGACCTGGCCTCTATTTATTTTAATGTTCTCATTTCTCCTCCCTCTTCCCTCCTTGTGTTTGATCTTCTTTCCTAGAAGACTTTTTTTTCTCCCATTTTTCTGAGTTCATACATTCCTTCCTTATGGAAGTCTTCTTGATTCCTCCAATCTGAGTAGGAGCCTCTTTTCTGTGGCATTGTAAGACTTCCGGTCAGCTTCTTATTGTTGCACAATGTGTTTACAGATAGCTGTGTGTGTGTCTCTCCCACACTTACAAACCGTGAGGAACTCGAGAAGCTATCATGTCTCTAATGCTTTGATCCTAAATGCCCATCACAGTGCCTGGCACATAGATCTAGGCTCCAAATTCACAGCTGAAAACCTGAGCCCCAGTTCTGGCCCCACCGTTCACCAGCTCTGTGAGCATAACAAAATTACCTGGTCTCTCTGGGTCATTCTGCTTATGAAAGACACAGCCTGGCCTCAGGCTGTTGGTCTAACATGTTATCGTTCATTTGCTAAGTTGTGTTTGACTCTTTGCAACCCCGTGGACTGCTACACGCCAGGCTTTGCTGTCCTCCACTATCTCCCTGAGTTTGCTTAAACTCATGTCCATTGAGTCGGTGATGCTATCCAACTGTCTCATCCTCTGTTGCCCCCTTCTTCTCTTACCCTCAATCTTTCCCAGCATCAGGGTCTTTTCCAATGAGTTGGCTGTTTGCATCAGATGGCTGAAGTATTGGAGCTTCAGCGTCAGTCCTTCTAATGAATATTCAGGGTTGATTTCCTTTAGGATGGACTGGTTGGATCTCCTTGAGAGTCCAAGGGACTCTCAAGTGTATGCTCCAACATCACAGTTAGAAAGCATCAGTTTTTTGGCACTCAGCCTTCTTTATGGTCCAACTCTCACATCCGTACATGACTACTGGAAGAACTGTAGTGTTGACTAGATGGACCTTTGTCCAAGAAAGGAAAATCTGTCACTGCTTCTACTTTTTCCCCTTCTATTTGCCAAGAAGTGATGGTCTAACATACATGGGGGTAATTTCTGCTTTCCCAGCAAACTGCCCTATGATGTGACCCCAGAGCAGGCCCTGTCTCACGAGGAAGTCAGGACGCGGCTAGACAACTCCATCCGGAACATGCGGGCCGTGACTGACAAGTTCCTGGCAGCCATCATCAGCTCCGTGGACAAAATCCCGTGAGTGTCGCCCGCTGTGGCCCCGGTAGAGCCCAGCACTAGTGGCCTCCAGCTCCCGGTCCTTCTCACCAAGTTTTGTCTGCCCCACAGCTACGGGATGCGCTTCATTGCCAAAGTGCTGAAGGACTCCTTACATGAGAAGTTCCCCGATGCTGGTGAGGATGAGCTGCTGAAGGTGAGACCAAAAGCTGGCACGTTCTTTCCCTTCCAGTAATAGCCCTTAGAGGGAAAAGTGCCCAGACCAAACCTGGCCTTAGACCTTCGTTTTGTTTGTTTTAGTCGCTTAGTTGTGTCTGCCTCTTTGAGAACCCATGGACTGGCCTGCTGGTCTCTGTCCTTGGGATTCTCCAGGCAAGAATACTGGAGCGGGTTGCCATTTCCTTTTCCAGGACTAAGCCTGACCTTGAAAATGAAAAGGAAAGGTGGAAGCCTCTCAGTCGTGTCCAACTCTTTGCGACCCCATGAACTATACAGTCCATGGAATTCTCTAGGCCAGAATACTGGAGTGGGTAGCTATTCCCTTCCTTAGACCTTTAGCAGTAAGGACCTTAACATAGATTTTGTCTGTAGCTCGCCATTGAGCGTGAGGCTTTGAAAGTGATTGTAAACAGTAAATGATACCGCTTTTAGATCCTGTATAGTTCCTATGTTGTTTGAATGGCACACGGCTATCAACCAAGTAGAGAAGATGGATTTTTCTGTCTTGAGAGAACATTTCTTTGAGTCCTGTCTTTTCGCTGAAGAATTGCTCCCTCTGCTGGTGTCCAGGTGAATGGTCGCAAGCACAGTTGTTTCCGCTAAGGCTGTTGCTGATGACTCTTTCTTCCTCAGCTATGCTCCCTCTTTTTTTTTTTTTCCTTAATCTGAACGCTTTTTTCTTCTCTCCTAGCTCTCTGCTTTCCTACAGTGAGGCCTCGATTCTAGACTTTCTGTTCAGGTGAATTCATTTTCTTTTTTTCTGAATGAAACTCTAGGGGAAATGCTTTGACTGTCCTTGAATTCCATAGAAGAGATATGTGTTGAGTGGCTTTGATCTCAGAGGCATTAACTTGTCTGCCTTTGACATCTGCAGCATGAGGATGGTGGGGGTTGGACAGATGACGCTAGGTCGTGTTCAAGGATTTGTTTTAGCTGCTTAGAATGAGTGCCCACCTGCACGGTAATGAAAAGTACATGTGTCTGACATGGCTTTATTGGCTACTGTAATATGTGGACAAAGAATGTCCTAAAATGCTCAATAACAGACTTTATGTCTATCATTTTTACCTTCTGAATCTGTTCTTTCATTGTAGTGATTTTCAATTCTGTTCTCATTTTCTTTTTTTTTCTGCATCCAGTCGAGGGATGTTTGGTCATTTTAGTTTCAGGCCTTGAGAAAAGGTGTGTATGAGTGTGTAGAATGTTTGTTTTTTTTCCTCACAGGGCCACATTTTCTGGTTTTGTTAGCAAAGTCATTTGTGGCTTACTTGTTGGAGTGGCTTTTAACACCCATTTCTTTTTCCTCTGTTCCCAGATTATTGGCAACTTGCTTTACTACCGATACATGAATCCAGCCATTGTTGCTCCCGATGCCTTTGACATCATTGACCTGTCGGCAGGAGGCCAACTCACCACAGACCAACGCCGCAATCTCGGGTCCATTGCCAAGATGCTCCAGCATGCAGCTTCCAATAAGATGTTCCTGGGAGATAATGCTCACTTGAGCATCATTAATGAATACCTCTCCCAGTCCTACCAGAAATTCAGGTAAGGGGAAAGGGATGAGGTGCTTAAAAGACTCTGTGGGCATGTTTCTAACTCTCAAGGGTAAAGATGAGATGAAATACCACACCCAGCATTCCCTGGACCGCAGTATCATAGGATACACACCTGATGCACTCCGAGCTCCAGATGATGATGAGGAGCATGTGCGAGCTATTAAAATGTGTCCTGGACTTCCCTGGTGGTCCAGCGATTGAGAATCTGCCTGCCAACACAGGGGACATGGGTTGGATCCCTGGTCCGGAAAGATTTCACATGCCGTGGAGCAACTAAGCCCATGTCCCCGCAATGAGAGAAAGCCTGTGAGCAGCAGCAAAGACCCAACAGAGCCAAAATAGAAATGAAAAATAATATTTTAAAAATATTTTTAAGAAGTAAAATGTGTTCCTATGAAATAGACAGTACTTAACATAAACATAACGTCTACATCAGGCATATGTTACTTTGTAATCAGAGAAGAATTGGAGCGCACTTTCAGTATTTATAAGTTAGTCATGCAGTCGTGAGTTCAGGGCGTTGTCTTCGAGAGTTGGGTCCAACAATGACAACTGGTGTTTGAGAACCGTCTTAAATTATGGTTGAGCGGTTCTTGTGGGCAGAACCAAAATAAAGTGCAAAGAGCACCAACGTCCCAGGGCTGTCAAGCACAATGGACATGCTGCGGTTTCTCTCTAGTCAGCCGTCTTGCCTGGCTTCTGTTTGAACTCACCACACCAAGGGTTTGTGGGGTGTCCTTCCTTCGTCAGCTTCTTACACGCATGGCACTTGTTGGGGCCTGACTGCTGTGTTTATTTTCAGACGGTTTTTCCAAACTGCTTGTGATGTCCCAGAGCTTCAGGATAAATTTAATGTGGACGAGTATTCTGACTTAGTGACCCTCACCAAGCCAGTGATCTACATCTCCATTGGCGAGATCATCAACACCCACACGGTAAGTATTCTTCTTCAATGATGTAATTCCATTGCTCTGTCTTAATTGCCTTCTCTGGCTGCTGTCCATTGTCTCTGGACGCCAGATACCTCCCCATCCTTTGATCTTACTGACATCGCATCTGCCTTGTTTCTTATCTTCCTTTGCTTATTTTTCTTAACTTTCTTGAAGTGATCCCCAGGCCACCTGCGTCAATATCATCTGGGCTGGTTATTAAAAATGAAATTTCTGGAACCCCACCTCAGGCTAGCTGAATCAGAAGCCCCGTGGGTGGGCTTTAGAATTTCTGTTGTGATCCCTGATATAGGGCCTGGATAAAATACTGTTTTTACTGCTCCTTCTTTTTACCCTGGCCCTCTGTGTTACTTTTCTAACATGATCTAAGATACCAGCTTTTTCCTCTGTGTTACCTTCAAGTGACTTTCCCTTGGGTGTTCTTTTTTTCCCCACCTCAGATTTTTGTAATTCATTCCTTTTCCCCTTTGGGGGCATATAGAACAAGAAATGAGAAAGTAAAATGAAATTTCAGTGATTGTCATTTTTGACATCACCAAGTAGGATTTGGCGAATGGCCCTGAATTAATAATAATGTTGATCTAATGCACTTTTCTCTGAATTAAAAGATATTATATACCAGAAGCTTTAAACGAAAGCATGAGTGTGAGTCATTTGAACTGGTTGTAGAGTACACTGATGACTTGGGTATTGAAGTCTGTGAGCTTCCATGTTCTTTCTTCTGTAGGGTGCATTTAAATCCTCTATAGCTGGTACTGAGAGAGTACCAGTATTTCTTCTTCATACATCACAGGCCAGCATGTTGCTCTATGTGTCATGTTGTTTATTTGGGTCAGTCTGTTGAGGATTAGTTCGTCAGTTCTTGAAAACACAGGAGTGTTGTTATCGAACCTCTTTTGTGCTGTTAGGTATTGTGGGTGGGGCTGGGGGCTGGTGGGTTGAGTGTGTGAATGGAATTGACCCCTGGATGTGTGGATGCAGCTCCTGTTAGACCACCAGGATGCCATTGCCCCAGAGCACAACGATCCGATCCATGAGCTGCTGGACGACCTCGGCGAGGTGCCCACCATCGAGTCCCTGATAGGTGAGGCTCTGACTTAACTGCCTGGCAGCTGGAGATGGGGAGCACGGCAGGAGTGCTGTGATTGTCTCCTCCTCTGTCTCCACGCTGTTTGTGCTCCAAATCCACATCAGGGAAGAAGTGAGGTGTTAGGAACATCTGTTAGGAACTGCAGTCCAGTGGATAATGGACTCAAATGTAGTGCCTATTATAAATGCTCAGATGTAATACATATCTGAGGATGAGATGGTTGGGTGGCATCACCAATTCATTGGACATGAACTTAGACAAACTCTGGGAGATGTTGAGGGACAGGGAGGCCTGGCCTGCTGCAGTCCATGGAGTCACAACGAGTCAGACACAACTTAGCAACTGAACAGCAAGAACAATACATATAATCATATAACTAGAAATGATACGTCCTATAAAGGAAATGAACAGGGTATTTTGAGAGAGAAATATTACAGTGTTGAAATGATTTGTCAAACATTTATTATTATATTAGGGATCCTTTGTCGTAATCATTTGACATAATATATTTTTTCTCACTGAAGGGTATCCTTGCCACAAGGTACATATTGGCTGATTCAACTATCTTCTTAAACTTGCATTCTCTTTTATTTGAATTATCATCTACTCTCCAATGTCTTTTGTCTTTATTATATTGATTTTTTTTTTCCCTACCCTTCCAAAACTTTAGGAGAAGGTGCTGGCAATTTAAATGACCCAAATAAGGAGGCGCTGGCTAAGACAGAAGTGTCTCTCACACTGACCAATAAATTTGATGTGCCTGGAGATGAGAATGCAGAAATGGATGCTCGGACCATCTTACTGAAGTGAGGATTGAAAGGAGGAGGAGTGGAGTGACTGTAACCCAGTGATTACGCCTGTCCCTTGGTCTTGCTGAATGAGTCCATTTGTTCATACCTAAAATGACCTTGGCTGTTTAAGCCCAATACAGTTCTGGTCATCTCCTGTAGTATACTTGGCACAGAACTCACCTGCCTTATTTGCTCATGAGATGCTGAAACAAATTTGCATCTCTGAGATCCTGACCCATTCTGTCATAGCTGCATGAGTAATCCTGGGGCTTCGTGTACCTGTGTTAGGGCTGCCCAGCGGAACTCTGGGAAGCAGTATTTGCTCTGCTCCTGCTGAGGTCCCTTTGAGAGGAAGCGGGACAGGTGCTAATGTTTCGATGCCTCCCGAATCTCCTTTCAGCACAAAACGCTTAATTGTGGATGTCATCCGGTTCCAGCCAGGAGAGACCTTGACTGAAATCCTAGAAACACCAGCCACCAGTGAACAGGTAAAGTTTGGGGTTTATCATGTACCATAATTAGATGGATAGATGCTCCTGTGGTGGGCATGTAGCAGGGCTGAGAAGGGGGGTCACAGATGGTAAGAGGCGGTCACTGAGAGGTGGGCCTGGATGTGACTGGCAGATGGTAGCACTCAGGGCTTCCTGAGAAAGCTGTTGGTCCCTAAATCCAGAGTTCGATGTTTCTACGGCACAGAGCTCACTGGCACTTGCATACAGTCTGTGTGCGTGCTTTAATTTAACCTGAGATGGAGTCAGTGAATCTGCCCAGCATATCTATTGAACATTGTATTTCTAAAAATTTTTTAAATTTTATTATTTTATTTTTTGGCTGTGCTGGGTCTTCCTTGCTGTATGAGGGCTTTCTCTGCTTGCAGTGAGCATGGGCTTCTCATTGCAGTGGCGTCTCTTGTTGCAGAGCACAGGCTGTAGGACGTGAGGGCTTCGGTGGTTCTGGAGCACGGGCTTAGTTGTCCGGAGGCACGTGGGATCTTCCCAGACCAGGGATCGAACTCATCTGCATTGGCAGGTGGATTCTTAACCACTGGACCACCAGGGAAGTCCTATAATTAGAATTCTGTTCAATGCCTTGGTAGGTAGGAGAGAAGAGTAGAATATGGCTCCTGAGTTATGTGAACTCATGATACAGTTGGATACATGTGACATATAAGCTGAAACAATTAGAAAACCACTGAAAATTCACCATGGTCTTGACTCAAAAATAAAAGAAATTAAGAAAGGGGCCAGTGAGGAGCAAAGCATCAGGAAGGTATGGGGCTTGAACCAAGGTTCCCCATTTCACAGATGACAAAACTGAGACCGCCTTGAGGTTAAATAACTTGCCCACAGTCATTCACTTACAGTAGCAGAGCCAAACTTGGATTTGGTTCTGTCTGACTCCAGTTCATGCTCTTTATATCACATGATAAGCAGTAGTTTTGACATTAGAATGAAAGGGAATATTAGGAAAGGAATTGCTCCAGGTTGGGAAGAATTATGACCTTTCTGAGTATAAATATCCCCAGTACAAACAGTTCAAAATAGGGTCCCAGAACCTTAGCTATATGCTAGGATCTATCAGCATAGAGGTGATCATTGAGGTTTTGAGAGAGAACAGTCATAAAGAAAGGACCATGGGTCCTTTGGAGGCACCAGCCCTTGCTAAGACAAGGAAGATGTGCAGGGAAGATGAATAAGGCAACAGCTAAGAGAACACACTGGATTTGGGGTGAGAGGAATGGTAATGAGAACTGGTGATGATAGCCAGACTTTGAGGAAAGTGCTGAAAGAAGGGGAAAGCAGGTGTGGATCGTTTGTTGGGTGGGAACACAACAGACAGACATTAGTTGGTGATTAGGAGAGATACCAGACATAAGAAGGGTCTCTTCACTGGTGTTTGCAGCACGTTTGAAAGCAGAGGGCAGGCCTGAAGGTGATCCAGCTGTGATGAGGTGGGGGAAAAAAAAAACATTCACCTGCCACTGGCATTGCAATGGTGTGATTGTAACATTCATCACGCCAGGTTTCAAATAAAAGTAAATGGTTTCCATATCCCACATGTGATAGGGAAAAAGTGAGGGATTTTGTATGCAGTAGAGTTCAATCTCCTGAGTAAACCTTGGAGTCCAGGAAAGAAGCCAGCATCTTGGAACTTCCCTAACAGTCTAGTTGTTAAGACTTCGCCTTCCAATACAGAGGGTGCAGGTTCAATCCCTGGTCAGGGAGCTAAGATCTCGCATGCCTCACAGTCAAAAAACCAAAGTGATATTGTGACAGATTCAGTAAAGATTTTTTAAATGGTCAACATTAGAAAAAAAAAAGATGCCAACATCCAGCCTCATAGATGTTTCTCTTCCAGATGAAAGGAAAGCAGCCTCTGCTTCATGCAGTTTGTTGGGGTGGGGGCAGGGGGGTATAAACTTGTTGCCCTCTGTTTCTCGAATGGAGTGTGTGAGCTGTATAGGCTCAGGTGTGGGTTAGATTGGAGGCCTTTCATGAAATCCTCTTTCTTGCTATAGGAAGCTGAACATCAGAGGGCCATGCAGAGACGCGCTATCCGTGATGCCAAAACTCCGGACAAGATGAAGAAGTCCAAAACCATAAAGGAAGACAGCAATCTCAGTCTTCAGGAGAAGAAGGAGAAGATCCAGTCAGGCTTGAAGAAACTCACAGAGCTTGGCACCGTGGACCCAAAGAACAGATACCAGGAACTGATCAATGACATCGCCAGGGTATGGCATTTAGGGGACAACAGTGGCCTGGCCGTGTTGAAAGCCATCTCAGAGGCTTGTGGGGCCACGGGAGCTATTCCAGTGACTACATACCTTTAGTTCATGGGCCGATTCAGGTCCTCTCCTCCCGGGAATCGCTTCTGACCCTTCCAGCATGCGGTCCTAGCCTGCCCTTCCATGGCTTATTCCATGGCCTAAATTAATAGGAAGAACATCCTGATTAGAGTTTCCTGTGTCTCAGTTTGTCTTTTGGCCTTAAAGAATTCCTCTGGCTCTTTTCAGTGATAACTGCAATAGAAATTCGCTTCAGATCGATCATCACATCCTAGATTTGTGTGAGTCTTCTCAAGTAAGGGGCCCTGATGCAGGCCAGGGAATTTATGCGTCCTCTGCTGTTGCACTAAAGCACACCACACACACCTTGTAGCTTGGCACTTGTTATATTAAAATGATTTTTTTCCTCCCTCTACTGACAGTATATTTAAGATGTTTAAACACGCTTTGCCAGTTGATTCTGAGATCTGTTGGAGGTCTGTGAAAGTAACCCATTTTCCCTGCCTATAGAAAATAGAAATGGGGAAAATGGATGAGATCTGAATTTCTTTGTTAATTTTTGAGCATAAAACTGCTGCCTATGAAGAACAAGCAAGGCCAAGTTAAACACTGCCAGCTTCTAGTGTTAATGGTTCCAGAAGCACATGACATCATTATTTTTGTGATTTTAATAATTGTGTCTCAGGATATTCGGAATCAGCGGAGATACCGACAGAGGAGGAAGGCTGAGCTGGTGAAGCTGCAGCAGACGTATGCTGCCCTGAACTCTAAGGCCACCTTTTATGGAGAGCAGGTGGATTACTATAAAAGCTATATCAAGACCTGCCTGGATAACTTAGCCAGCAAGGGCAAGTGAGTATTCTTATAAAGAATCAATCAATGTCAGGGGAAAAAGAAGTAGAAGCAACTGAAGTGAGTGACATTGGAGATTTTTACTGACAACACACTGGATCTGTTTATTGCATTAGCCCTTTGTTTGGCTTCTAATCGTTTGTAATTTCCTAGTTCCATTTGTTATGTGTGCGCGCGTGCTAAGTCACTTCAGTTGTGTCCGACTTTTGTGACCCCATGGGCTGTAGCCTGCCAGGTTCCTCTTTCCATGGGATTTCCCAGGCAAGAATACTGGAGTGGGTTGCCATTTCCTTCACCAGGGGATTTTCCAGACCCAGGGATTGAACCCAAGTCTCTTATATCTCCTGCTTTGGCAGGCAGGTTCTTTACCACTGAGCCACCTGGGAAGCCCTCCATTTGTTATGGTATGGTGTAAATAAATAATGTGTGGAGGGTTTCAAGGACGCTTATTTCTAAACATCCTGTGTTCCAAAATATCTTCTCGGCCCTGGAAATTAAAGAACCTTGTAAAAGGGTCTTTTAGTGGCCCCCAAACCAGGATGCACCTCAAAACTCACTTAAGGAACAATATTAATATAAACAGTTCAATTCCCTGGCCTCAGTACTTCCTGAGCACAAGCTCCCAGACCATGATTTTTCCCCAGCTTCCAAGGAAGAACTGATGCAGCCTCCTTTGTGCTGGCTACAAACCATCAATCTTCCCATTTTTCAGGGAGGGAAATTGAAAATCCAGAAAGGTGAAGTGATTAAGCACAGGTTCTACTTACTAGAAGGCTGTTTATTATTTACTCCCAACTTTTCATTTTGAGACTCTTCAAACCCCAGAAAAATCCCATGAATAAAACCACAAGCACCCATATACCTTTCAGCTATTAATAGATTCACTGTGTTTAGCCATTCAGCTTCCCCTCTCCCTAGCCTGCTTACTCTTCCTATCTATGCCTTTTCTCTCCCTCCCTGAAGACTTCCCAAAGTGAGGCAGGGCTGATGTGAAGGGGTGAAAATCAGGTTCACATAACCGAGCTCACGTAGTTGGTGCCTTTGTCCTTCTGAAATGTCCCCATCATTCTCTGAGCACCTCTTGACTTACTGTGACACAAGATATTTCTGGTTCAGTTTGTATTCTCCCCTCCCCAGGCTTGGAATCAGCTATTTCTCCAAACATCCCTCGTTCTTTGTAATGAAGGATGGTATTTAGAAACCAAAATCTAGGCACTAGATGTGCTCATTGCCAGAGCCATTATTGTTTCAGGCCTTCTAGGCAGACAGAGCTAGGTCCTCATTTCTTTTTTAATGGCTTTGTGGTATTCTGTTGTAGAGATAAAGTAACTGCTGAATCAGTTCTCCATCGATAGACATTGACGTTGTCTCGTTACTTATTATAAAAAATTCTGCAACAAATAGCCTCTTGTACATATGTCATTTTGCAGATGTAGTTATATTTTTTTAAGATAAATTTCTAGAAATGTAATTGCCAGCTTCAAAATTTTATGCAGTTGTGATTTTGGTAGGTACTTCAGCTGCAGGGATTATTACCTTTTATCCAGCTACCCGCTTTTCTGCCCCATTTCTTGAGAGCCCTCCCTTTAGAGTCCCAGATCCTGTTCTCGTTCATCTCAGTTCCTCCCTAGCTTACTTTTCTTACCGCTTCATGCCTTGATCATCCCAGTGGCCTGCTAACTTGTTTCTTTTACCTTGTTCCCATTTCTCTGTGTTGCTGTGCTGACTTAAACTCTTTTAAAAATTACACATTCTAAGGTATTTTTATTTTTTCTCTGCACAGCCAAGGGGCTAAGAGTGACTCCTGTGGGGTTCCCTTCAGTATAGTTCCCTGAAGTAGAAATCCTAGCATTCATTTGCCATTTTAGAATTGGTTTGTTACTTATGCTTGCATATGGGAAATTTGTTTTCCAACCTCATATCCTTGAGTGACCAACAGAAATTCATAGTAGATAGTAACTTATAGAAAGTGACATAATGTGGTCTTTATAGGGTCTCCAAAAAGCCTAGGGAAATGAAAGGGAAGAAAAGCAAAAAGATCTCTCTAAAATACACGGCAGCAAGACTACATGAAAAAGGAGTTCTTTTGGAAATTGAGGACCTGCAAGTGAATCAGTGAGTATTTACTATTTAACTTTATTTTATATATTGATTATTTTTGCTTCTGTGTTTGTCATAGCTTTATCTTATTGACTTTCTCTTATCTGGATAATCATTATTATATTTTACGTGTGTTTGTAATTGATTAATTAAAGTAATCAGTTATATGCAGGATTTGACCTAATACCCAGAGTTAATTTGTCTTTCATAGAAGGGAATGTATTTGTATCTTTTCCCTATATGCCTCTATTCACATAAAGATTATTCACTTACTTTACTACTTTTTTTTTAACTTAAATTGGAATGATACTGTTTATAGTCATGTATCCAACTTTTTCCTCATTACGTGTTGTGAGCATTTTTCACATAGTTTGAATGACCATATAATTTTTAATACTCTAGTTTTAATTTAACCATTTACCTATGGTAGAATATTTTAAGTTGATTTTGCTTTTTACAATATTCCACGTGTAATAATACCTTTATAATGTAATCTTTGATTCTACCTTTGATTATTTATTTTATGATAGATGCCTAAAATTGCAATTTCTGATCAGTGTATAATTTTTTTTTATTGTGAAAAACACAAAACATAAAATTTACCATCTTAACTATTTTTTTTAAGTAGTTAGTTTTTTGGCCACACTGTGAGGCATGTGTGATCTTAGTTCCCCAACCAGGGATTGAATTCATGCTCCGTGCATTGGAAGTTGGAGTCTTAGCCACTGGACCACCAGGGAAGTCCCTCTTAACTACTTCTAAGTGTACAGTTCAGTAGTGTTAAGTACATTCACATTGTTGTGCAGCCCATCTCCAGAACCTTTTCATCTTACAAAACTGAAACTGTACCCATTAAATAACAACTCCCGTTTCCCATTTTCCCCAGCCCTGGGAAACCAGCCAGTCTCCTCTCTGATTCTATGAATCTGACTCCTAGTTGCCTCATACAAGCGGAATAATATAATACTTGTTTTTTGTGTCTGACTTTCTTCAGTTAGCATGATGTCCTCAGGGTTCATGCAGGTTGTAACCTGTGACAGGTTTTCTTCCTTTTTAAGCCTGAGTCGCTTTTCACTGTATATGTGAACCACATTTTGCTTATCCGTTCGTCCACTGATGGACGTATGGGTTGCTTCCATCTTTTTGCTGTTGTGAATGATGTTACAGTAAACATGGGAGTACAAATATCTCTTGAGACCCTGCTTTCTGTATACCTATAAGTGAAATTACTGGATCATATGATAAATTCTGTTTTTAATTTTTTTAGGAACTGTCATACTATTTTCCATAGTAGTGGAAAAAAATTTTTTAACTAGTGTATTAATATTACAAAATATTTTCTAACAATGTCTGAAATGTGTATGAAAGTGCTTTCTTACCTCAATAATTCTTTACCATCATTGAATAACAAAGCACTTTTTGATATTTTTGACTTAATAGATAAAAAAGGTAGCACTTTTAAATTTGCATTTTGTAGAATTCTAGTTGGGGTTTTTTGAGGGTGTGTGTGTGTGTGTGTATGTATTTAAACATGGCTTATTATCTATGTTTTCTTTGATTATTTTTTCAATTGAGCACCTTGGTGTTTTGGGTTTTTTTTTTTTTTTTAGATTAGCACTTTATGCATTTTTCAACCCTTTTTTATAATTTATTATTTATTCCCTTCTTTTTTTGTTGTTATTTCCTGTTATTGTTCAGGTGCCTATCATTATTTAATAGTTTGCTACCGCCGACTTAGAAACCAGATGACAAACCAAACCAGTTAAAATAAAATTATTTATTACCTGAAATAATGCCTTTATAAAACCTGTGAGCCTCCTGTTGAGTAAAATGCGTGTGTTTTAGCCTGTGGACTTTGGAACCTCTCATCTAGCTTCTCAGTGACCTCTTTTGCATCCTCCATGGTTCTCAGCTCTGTTTATAATAGATCAATTTGCTTCATAGTTGAGTTTTGAAAATCTTGGGTGTCACACTTTGATCACCTAGAGAACACCTTGCTCCCACCTTCTGGTGCCGTAAAACTCCTGGGCATGTAACATTGTTGAGACTGAGTGGTACCTTAAATATCTTCAGTAATAACAGTTTATCTTTGGTAATACTCAGTCCATTTATATCCATAGCACCTACTCCTTCCAGAACACCTCCTGTCTTGGTTCTTTTGGTTCTGACCCCTGCTTTGTTTATGTACCATTTCCAGTCCTCAGACATGCTTGTATTCAGACATCTGTCTTCTCCTTCTCCTCCTGGCCCCATTTCCTCTTGATTCTCCTTTCACTATCACGCTTCAGGAGTGGCCACACGGAAGGCCAGGAGGAGTCCTGATGTCATCCCTTCATAGGTCACTGTGTCCTTCCTCAGCGATTCCTCTCAGTAGGAACCACGTTCTCCCAGGAGAGGTTACCACTCTCTCCAGATCCCAAAGCAGATGGTAATTACAGCATCAATATCACACACATCCCCACCTGCGATAATACTTTGCACCTTTATTTTGTCACACTTTTCACTGCTGAACATTGAGCTCATCTCCTTTCCAGACTTCACAGAATATTTTTATATGAGAATACAAAAATCAAATCCTTGTGATGTTTTGTTTCAAACAGGTTTAAAAACGTCATCTTTGAAATCAGTCCAACAGAAGAAGTTGGAGACTTTGAAGTAAAGGCCAAGTTCATGGGAGTTCAGATGGAGACATTTATGTTACATTATCAGGTAGGTCTGCACCAGGTAAAACTGATAGCTCTGCGTGTGAGACAGTTGTGTTCTTGTCAGGGTAGGAAAGGGGAGAAAAGCAGACCCAGGTGAGGAAAGCAGCCCACACTTGGCAGTGAGCTGAGTTCTGAGTGTCGGATTTGGTCTGTGTGGGCTAGGAAGCTTTTGCAGACGTATAAGTCTTCAGCAAGCATACCTGAAGCTTCCACTTAGGGTTGCCACTAAATTGAACTGACACCTTGGACGTGAATAAAATGTTTAGGTATAGATCTCGACAGTACAAAATCATGAACTTTTTCAGTAGCTTGAAATCTTTTTTTTCCCCCTCTCATTTTGATTTGATATAGGAGGTTTAAAGGTATACTGCTGACAAGATGTGTGTAAGTTGCATCTTTGTAAACTGAATCTCACTTTGTTTATATTTTGGGAACTTTTTTTTTTTTGAGAGAAAGCAACTTTTTATTGAATCTAAGTTAATAAATAGGGATCACAGAACAAAGAGCAGACAAACAGCGTGAGTTACATCAGAATGAAAAGAGTAAATGACAGGCCTGGGTTTCCAGTCTGAAGCTGTTATGCAATATGACTTTTTGGCCACACCACATGGCTTTGGGATCTTAGTTCCCCCACCAGGAATTGAACCCAGGCCCTGGGCAATAAAAGCACCAAGTCCTAACTACTGGAACACCAGGGAATTCCCCTCTGAATCCCCTTTTAAATTCAAGAAGAATTCTGCAGTGAATCATATTGTAACATAACTGTCCTTAATTTTTATTTTGAAACATCTCTCTCTCTTTTTTTTTTTACATTAAAAAATATAAGGGTGTTGAGAGGACTCCTAGGTAATGTCCAGCTTCCATTAGTTCTGTGAACACAGTGCTTCGTGGTTGATACCCAGCTTATATTTCTCAGATGGCTGCACCCCGCCAGGCTGGGCAGGGGCCTTTCCCTGAAAGGAAATTCGGGCTCTTGCACATGTCGCTCTCCCTTTATGACCAGTAGACCCTCAAAACACGTTAACTGTACAGATGTGAAATGATTTTATGATGCACGTAGCTAACTCAAGTCCTTACACAAAAAAGAGCCTCTTATTCCCTCAGTTTCACCAAATTTGTGTAGGCTGCCCATTCTGCCTCCGTGTATCACTCCATGCACAGAGTCATTAGCTATGGAATGACTGCCAGGTGCAAGATATTACAGTTCAGGTGATGCACCAGGGTCCTTGTCCACCTGGAGCCACTAAGATTTTTCCAAAAGAGGAATTGGTTGAACTTTTGGAATCCCTTCAAGCCCCTGTCTTTTTTAAAGATTTTTTTTTGCAATCTTTATTGAAATTTGTTACAGTATTGTTTTTATGTTTTTGTTTTTGTTTTTTTTTTGCCCTGTGGCATGTGGGTTCTTAGTCCCCCCCCATCCCACCCCACCCCACCCAGGGATCGAACCCACACCCCCTGCTTTGGAAGGTGAAGTTTTAACCACTGGACCACCGAGAAGTCCTGCCTTCAGGCCCTTTGATCCTTGCTTTTTCACCACCGCTCTTCCAAAGTTTGGGTGTGAGACCACTCTGATTTCCTCAGTTTGTTTTGGACAGTGGAGGGTAGTAGGGAAACAGGGCTTAGCTGTCAGATCCAGATTCACCATGTCCAGCTCTGTCCTTTTGGGCGGGTCATTTAACATCCCCCAGCCTCAGTAGCCTCATCTTTAAATCTGAAATAATCACCCCTGGTAGGATTTCTGACAGGACTTAAACAGACATCGTATAACACGCTTCTACATTGAGGAACATGTAGTAAATGTAAAAAACATTTAGTCCTCTCTTCCCCGTCGTGTTCAGGATAGGAAAGCTCTGTCATTTGAAAAGGAAATGAAGACTCTAGTAGATGGTGTTGCGATGACATTACTGGACTTATCTTGTGTTAAGTGGTTATTATGTCTCATCATGGATTGAAACATCGTCACCTTCTCCAGGCGATATATCACTTAGACGAACTGGGCCGCAGCAGGCAGGTCCATAGCTGGGCACTTGTGTCTCACCGCAGCTCACATCTGGTGCACAAGGCACGCCGCATCCCTTCCAGATTCCTCCCTACTCGTGTCTCTCCTTTTCTTGTCCCACAGACTTGATTAACCATCAGAATGTTTTTTTGAACAGGACCTGCTGCAGCTACAGTATGAAGGAGTCGCTGTCATGAAATTATTTGACAGAGCTAAAGTCAACGTCAACCTCCTCATCTTCCTTCTCAACAAGAAGTTCTATGAGAAGTAACAGAGCATTTGCTTCCAGCTCAGAAGGATAAAGAAAGAAGTGCCCGGCGGCCGCCTTTCTGGAGGTCCTTCTTTATATCTCCGAAGCAAAGACCCAGCCCGTACCATTGCCTCAGTCTAATATCGCCCCCAACTCCACAAATTTAACTGCTCCCACTCAACAGGGACATTGGTCGTCCTTTCTTCATAGTGAAATTGTATTTCAGGCCCAGTCTGACCCATCTTGTTCCTTCGTTCTCTTCTGTTAGGGAAGAGTGGGAATTCTCCTGAAATCTCTCATGTTGTTACAGTCTTAGAGGTTGCATTACTATATTGTAAGCTTTGGTGTTTGTTTCTATTAGCGATAGGGACGGTGGGATTTGAATACTTGCTGTTTAGAAGTGGAAGCCATTAGCCCAATAACGTGCATACTTAGAAGACACACAGTTAAAATGTTAGGTTATCCATAGTTATTGGTTGTCACTTAAAAGTGAAGTTCCTGTATATTTCTGTTCCATCAGTAAAATTGAAGGATATGGGGAGGCTTTGGTTGTCTTCCATTCTGTCTTCCCTTATGGGCAGGAGCTAATAGAAGTCACTGTTCTGTGTTCAAAGGAAGCATTTTCTAGAAAGAGGGATGTTGTTTTTAAATTTCACCATTAAATTTGGGCAGTTCTCATCAGTGGATGGGAGAGTCCCACTGTTAAAATTAAGCTATTTAGGTAAATTCAGAATGGTCTGAACACTTGCTTGTTTCTGTTGGTGCAAAGATTGACTAGTTTCAGGCAAATGATCCACTCCATCCCTATGGCAAAGGAATGGGTTATCCCTAGCATAGAATGTAACTGTTTCCAAAACTGTTTTGTATCTTAAGAGAGTGCCTTATGAAAGTGTAGATTTATTTCTTAAAATGGGGGTGATAGGAATTTTAAGGATTTATATAATGCTTCAAAGTCTTTAGAATACTGTAAGAAAAGGGTTTGGGGTTTTTTTTTTAATTGGCTTATCTGTATATCTGAACTCTTAAAACTTTTTTATAGCTAAAACACTAGGGTTTATCTGCAGGGTTGCAGAGAGATTATCCTGCCTTAAACAGACTGAAACAAAACCAAACAAAAGCAGCCAAGCGATGTTACACGTGGTATTAAAATCTGGTTCCCCACCCCGCCTTTTTTTGTCTTTTTTCTTGCTGCCCACACTATGCCTTTATTTGATGAGCTCCGTTTTTTAAATTTAGTCACAAACAATTCAGTGCTAAGCGTTGAGCTCATGGAGCTTTCATTTTTAGATTAAAAGTCATGTACTTTTTAAAAACAGGCTTTATCCAGGAAAATATATTGAAATCATGCTACTGAGCCTCCTTTCCTCTGATGTTTTGGTTCAGTGTTCTTTTATCATAAAACTAACAGTTAAAAATTTACTGATGTATATTTAAAGCCAGTAAACTGTTTTCATTGATAACAAATCATGTGATGCGTCCCAGTTACAGATGTAAAGTGCTGGAAGTGTGTTTTTCATGATAGACTGTTTACTGAGTCAGGTCCATGGGTGCAGCCTTACGAGTCTGCACACCCCAGGCAGCCCATAGACAGGTGAAGAGGTGAGGTGTGGAGTGTTATGGAAAGAGTCTCCACCACCTTGACCTCGTTTCTTGTGTTTCGCAAGACAATTTTTTTAGTAAATATTTCCCTCAGATTAAAAGAAGACGCCACTCTATGTGGCATTTGGGGACCAACCAAAATGTCAACCGTTTTACCTTAAAAGATAATATTCAACCCAAATTCATGTCGGGCTCCAAAGGCCACGTCCATGACAGACAATGAGTAAAGTTCACAACTCTTTAATGAAATACGATGTTTCAGTGATCTGTAAGGAGCATAGTTCTTTGACACAATTGCCACGAACTACACCTTGAGATGGTAATTTTGATGGTAACTATACATAATTACGGTGTTCACAGCATTGAGGATGCCCAGACAAATTCAAGTCGTGGCATTGACACTTAGTAGCTCTTTTTAATTTTAATTTATTAGCCATAGCAGTCTCTGTCTCAGCTCTCTTCCTTCTTTGACCTTCTCTTCAGCCAGCCATCATGACATTGACCATGTATTTCCTCCTCCCAGAATTTGGACTGCCTGTCAGATCGTTGCCCCACACAATTGACTCTGTATCTCTGTGTGAAATAAAAGGTCATTCATTTGTTTTTGTGTTGATTTTCCTCAGTCTCATTGTTAGCAGTTCCTGCAAAACTGTTAATTAGAGTGAAGTTTAATCATTGAAAACCACAACAGAAAACAACCCCTTCATAGTCTTTTTGAAGGAACAAACACAAATCAGCTATCTCAAAGAGATTTTTTTAACTTGTGAGTTTAGCCTTTTTAAATATAAAATGCTTTAAGTAGCCTTAGCATAAAAAGAATTGAGGGTGTGGCAAGGTGGAGAACCAGCATTATGTCACTTAGTTCTTTTTTAAAATGAAAAAACCATCCAGGGAGCTCCCTGGTGGTCCAGTGGTTAAGACTCTGCTCTCCCAATGCAGGGGGCACCGGTTCAGACCCCTGGTCAGTTCCCACGCGCCACAACTAAGGGTCCATGAATGCAACTAAGACCCAACATAGCCTAAATAAATATATTTTTTAAAATCATCGAATTTTTCTTTAATCATTATTGGTGGACATTTCAATGTCAGTTCTGATCATCAACTGGCTGGAAGTTTCAAATTACAGTAGCATTAAATGTTTTATGACAGTAGCACTCTAGGTCACAGTACCTCCCTCAGGGACTTCCCCACTATGTACAAATCACCAGAAAAGACTGCGGGACATTGGATATGGACAAAGTAAACCGCAGCAAAAGGGAGGGGAAATGGCTGCCTTTGAAATAAGACCCCAAGGGGCAGCCGTACTTAAAAATATAAATATAGGGTATTCCCTGCTGGCTCAGCAGTAAAGAATCCATGTGCCAATGCAGGAGACTAAGGTTCAATCCCTGGTCTGGGAAGATCCCACTTGCCGTGGGGCATCTAAGCCCGTGTGCCACAACTACTGAGTTTATGCTCCGGAGCTTGTGCTCCGCCAGAGAAGGCACCGCAGTGAGAAGCCCCTGCCTAGAGAGTAGCCCCCGCTTGCTGCAACTGGAGAAAAGCCTACCCAGCAATGAAGACCCAGCACAGCCAAAAATAAATACAATTTTTTAAAAAAGCTGTAAAGTGTATGAAAGTGAAGTTGCTCAGTCGCATCCGACGCTTTGCGACCCCGTGGACTGTAGCCTACCAGGCTCCTCTGTCCATGGGACCCTCCAGGCAAGAATACTGGAGTGGGTTGCCATTTCCTTCTCCATACTGGAGTGGGTTGACATTTCCTTCTCCAGGGGATCTTCCTGACCCAGGGATCTAACCCAGGTCTTCCGTATTGCAGGCAGATGCTTTAACCTCTGAGCCACCAGGGAAGCCCTGTAAAGTGTATACTTGCCAACATATTGTGAATTTCCAGCTAAAAATAACCTCACTCTTAAAGGGACCCAATGGAAACCCCTAATTTTATTTTATTTTTTTAATACTTGTACTTTATTATTATTAATTGCAGGAAGCAATGGGACTGCCTGTTTTTAAAGGCTCACAAAGCGGGGTAGGATGAAGGGAGATTGGGACTGGCGTATCTACACTACTACGTGTAAATTAGGTAACTAATGAGAACCTGCTGACAGCGCAGGGAACTACTCGGTGCTCCGTGGAGACCTAGACGGGAAGGAGTCCAAAAAAGAGGGGGTGTGTGTGTACGTGTGGCTGATTCACTTTGTGTACAGCGGAAACTGACTGCATTATAAAGCAACTATAATCCAATAAAAATTAAAGGCACATGGACAAAGCCCTTTGTCGATTGGAAAGTTGACATCTTTTTTTCCTCTTTAAACTCGTGTTTCTACTCCGCTTCCCTTAGAATCTTATTCTAATGTTATCTTTTAAAGCATAAGTCTTACTTTTGACCATCCTGTCATTGTTATTTGTGAAAAAAATTAAAATATTTTATTGCCTGTGACCATAAGGCTCTTAAAGATCCAGAAAAATACTTTGCATTATAATTATTGTTAGTGCATCTTTAATCAAAATCACCTAATGTATTATCTTGACAAAAAATTGTAAAAGATATTTGAAATGTATCTCTTAATGAAATAAATGAAAGTTCTTAAAGTGCAGGTGTAAAAGCTTATGGCTAGGGACTTCCCTGGCAGTCAGTGGTGAAGACTGGCTTCTAGTGCAGGGGATGCTCTGGTGGGGAGCTCACATCCCACATACCTAGCAGCCAAAAAAGACAAAACATGAAACAGAAGTAATCTTGTGACAAATTCAATAAAGACTTTAAAATGAGCCACATAAAAAATGAGTAGATTAAATAATAAAACACTTATGTGCGTGCATGTTAACTCACTTCAGTTGTGTCCAACACTAGCCCACAAGGCTCCTCTGTCCTTGGGATTCTCCAGGCAAGAATACTCAAGTGGGTCACCATGCCCTCCTCCAGGGGATCTTTGCCCACCCAGGGATCAAACCCGTGTCTCTTTCCTGTCCTGCATTGACAGGCAGGTTCTTCACCACTAGCGCCACCAACCAAATTTGTGGATAAATATTACTACTGGCCATAATGAAAGAGAACTGTTGATCAATTCTCTTCCTATTTTCACTTTTATAAATGTGAGTTCTGAGAACCTTTGCTGCTATAAATAATAAAAAAGTCGCTCAGTCGTGTCCGACTCTTTGGGACCCCATGGACTGTAGCCTACCAAATTCCTCTTTCCATGGGATTTTCCAGGCAAGAATACTGGAGTGGGTTGCTATTTCCTTCTCCAGGAGACCTTCCCAACCCAGGGGTCTCACGCATTGTAGACAGACACTTTACCATCAGAGCCACCAGGAAGTCCATAATAAGTACTAATAGATGGAATGGAAAGTTTTGTGATAATGATGTCACTCATTTTTTAGGACTTATATCTTATATCTCCCAAATCTCAATGAAGTTATAATAA